TATCCGAAATTTTCAGTTCAAATATTGGATACGGATATCCGAAGATTTCCAACTATCCGACAACCCACTAAAGTGAGGTCCGGCTGTAGTTATTGATATATTTTTAATGATAGTGGCGGCGCAAAAGTCGCCCGGCACAAAAGTCGCGGCGCAAAAGTCCCCCGGCGCAAAAGTCGCTCGGCGCATAAGTCGCGGCGCAAAAGTCGCGGCGCAAATGTTCTCGGCGCAAAAGTCACGGAACCCTTATTTAAATTCTTTTTAAAATCTTCTATTGCGTTTTTCAAAATAGTAGTAGGCAAATTGATTTATTTAATGTCAATACCAGTAGACCGAAAAGTACCGAGTCGGTATTATCGCTAGTACCGCGGTAGTACCGAATTTTTCTTAAGACATGTTAAAAAGTGTAAGAGAACTTGAGTAACTCGTGATTGAGTTATGCAAATATATCAAATTTTACAAAAATTATTAAATTAAAAGTATGGTACATATATTAAGCGTCCTTGAAATTATTCAAATACTTCAGCAGAATTTAAAATTTTGTGAATTCCGACCTTTCCAAAAGAATAAGCGCACTTTAGCTTTTCGTGTTTCTAACAGTAAGAAAATTCTACAAAAATCTATAAGGCCATCTATAGGGCTATAGTGTCATTCACGGATTAATCATTCTTTTCGTTTCAACCAGAGGTGGTCGGAACAGTCAGAGGTGCCGGAAATCAGAGGTGTCGGAATTCGGAACTGGCTCAAAAGTCGGAACTCGGAAATCAGAATTCCGGCCCACCTCTGGTTCCAACCCATTAACAATAATATTTGGATACTTAAAAATATTTTTTTCACTATCAACAATATTAAAATGTAAAAATATTGTTTAAAAAAGTTTGGCCGAAGTATACATATGTTTCTAAATTGTAATAAATATTTAAATTTTACTTCCTTTATTTCAAGCTTAAACAATAGAATCATCCAACAAGAAAACTCTTTTTTTTTAATTTTATGTGGTGATGAATTGTTAAACATAAATGAGATGACAACACTGAAATGTTAAACAAAATGTTTTGGAATAAAAATAAAAATATCACGAGAATGTCTTAAGATGCAACGTTTACAAATTTTCCACGTAATATGTTTATATCATGCTTCTCAAAGCTTTGAATGTAAACTGAACATGACTACATATTTATATGAACAGAATTTTAATTTATTTAATAAATTCAAATTATAATTCATTTTTAAACAAATAAAAACATAAAATAATAAATTCCCAATTTTAAATATTTTAGAAAATATTCGATCATTCCCTAAGCATTCCCTTGTTATTACAATCCATTTTAATTTAAATTTTGATAACATAATCTATTCTAAATAGAAATTTAAACATTTTTCCTATCAACAATTAATTTTAAAATATTTAATGCTCCACAGAAAGAATAACTGATTTTTGTCTTATAACTTAAGTATTGCTAAAGATTTAGGTTTAAGAAAATGGTCAAGATTCTTCCTGAGAATACAATCAACATTAACACTAGGTTAGACAAGATCCCTGCCAATCGTTTCATTAATTTTTCTTTATGCAAATATTGCATTATTACTTAGTTTTAATGGGATGTGTAACTGCCCAAAATATTCCCCTTACCCACGCTCCCTTCTGAAGGCATAAAATTTTTTTGGTCTTTTCGATTTTTAAATTTTTGGTATGATTATAAAGCTAAGACTCTGGACTACAAAATAAGATAAAAACAAAATCGGATAAAAATAGTTATCACTGAAAAAATAAGTGATAACAAAATGCGACATTTTTTATGACTCAACCTAGTATTATATATTAATTATTAAATATTTATAGAATATGACAAACGATATAGTATGAATAAAAAATTTTGATAATTAAAAAATATTTATATTGCAGTAACAAGTTATGGATATTGGACTGGGAATAAGATTGATATACAGACTATAATGAAAGAACTTGAAACAAACGGACCTGTTGTAGCTATATTTGAAGCCTATTCTGATTTGTATGCACATAAGGGAGGAGTTTATCGTGTAAATTTTATTTTAAAATTTGAGGTTTTCCGAATGAGTTTAGCTTAATTAATCAAAAAAGTAGTAGATAAATATTACACCAATTCTAAACTACTTAATTTCCAATATCAAAATGACCTGAAATACAAAATTTTTGGACTTTTCGGGTCCAGATATCCGGATTCCCCAACTATAGCTTTTTTAGAGCTTTATTTAATTTAGCTTATAGTATAATAAGTAGGGGGCGGATTTTTATTGAAATAAATTCGCCGAATATGGCCATAAAATATTGAAATAAACTGCCAAAATATTGACAAAAACTGCAAAAAATTAGTAAAATATTGAAATAAATTATGGCTTATTCGTTAGTAAAAATCAAAAAAATGTTGAATTTTAGAAAAAAATTAATCCCGTCTTCAACCCAGACTTCGATAAATTGACTCTTGCGCACTTTTAGATGGGCCAAATTAGGGGATGGAACATTTTGGTGATTTTTTTCAGTGGGACATTTTGTGGGGTTTGGTTTAGGAGGAAAATTTCGGGTTTTTTGTTCTGAGAGACATTCTGTGGGATTTTGTTCAGCGGCCATTTTGGGGGTTCCCTCTTCAATATAGTCTGAGCGATAGTTGTTTTGGCGATTTTTTGGAAGATTTTGCAAGAATAAGCCAAAATTTGTGCTTTTCAGCGCCGCAGGCAAAAATTTTTAGAATTTTGGAAGGTCATGAAGCCAAATTTTTTCACTTTTTTCCTAGAATTTATGAAAAATCCCAAAATTTTGGTAAAAATATGCAAAAATATTGAAATAATTTGAAAAAAGTGAGAAATATTGAAATAACGGGAAAATTGGCAAAATATTGAAATAAATTGAAATGTAACTTTGTTCAAAATCATAATATCGAAAAACTAATGGCATATTTGGGCTTCTCTCTACAAAGTGTATTTGGAAAAAAAACATTTTATTTCAATAAAATCCGCCCCCTAATAATAAGTATTCCTAACGGACATGGAAGCATGTACCCAATGGAAGCACGCATGGAAGCCCGTACCTAAATTTGTGCTCGTACTTGTGCACAACTAATACGAGGAAAAAATATCTGCACGAAGTAAAAGTAAGAACAAATTTCAAATTTCCAAACACTACCCTTTAGAACGGGCATCAGATTTTTTGATAGTAATAAGCGTAATATACAAAAACAAGCGAAAATTATATTCGAAATAAATTAAAATTAATTTATAAAAATTATTAATTTTAAAATTTATTTAGAGAAGTAGGAATGCTGCATTTAGAGAAAACCATGTAGTTGAAGTAATTGGACATGGCATTGAAGTATGCAGTAGAACAGAAACACCCTATTGGTTTATCAAAAATTCATGGGGTAAAGAATTTGGAGAAGATGGATTTTTTAAAATACGTCGTGGAGTTAATGAATGTAACATTGAAAATATTCATTTTTCTTACGCAAATCCGAATGTTTAAATTTTTATTGGATTTAAACTCGATTTATTTTGTGAATTTTAATAATTATATGTTAATATTGAAATAAAATCTTATAAGAATTATGTGTTAGTATTTTTGGTAAGAAAATTACGAATTTTAATCATAAATGTTAGCATTCCCTATTAGCATTTCCCTCATTCTCCACCCTCATATGTATACTCAGTTTAGGTGTCTAAGATATGCTTTCAGCACTTTCATTAATCATAGGTTAACACCGATACCGAGAAACTGTGATAATATTAGTGTTGTTCAAATTCGAAAATTTTCCAAGACACAAGTCCAAGACGACCTCATGATTCTGGACGAAACTTTTACAAGATCAAAGGAGGTTAAGTCCCACGGGACAAATTTTTGATTTATTTTTAGTGTCGCTGGTACAGTCCCGTTAAAAAATATAATCCAAAATTAAATAATATCGGGGGTTTCATTACCGAGAACGAAAATTTTGAAAATGAGCGAACATTGTTATTTTTTTACTTAAAAAATTATTTTTTTTTATACTTTTTATATTTTAAGAGTACTGGGTCCGCAAATGTCAGATCCGCTAATGTTAATCCGCATTTGTCGGTCCGCAAAAGTCGATCCGCTTCTGTCGGTCCGCAAATATCGGGTCCGCATATGTCGTTCCGCAAAATTCAATCCGCAACTGTCGATCCGCAAATGTCGTTCCGCAAGTGTCGGGTAACCACTCAGTCTACGTCCGTCTTTGATAATAACGCGAATTATTTTTAAGTGATTTCAATGATATGTATTTATGCAAATAAATAATAAAGAAAAAATATTATTCATTCAAAATACTCAAGTTTGTAATGGCTATCAACTTCTTTATTGGGTAATCAAAAATTCGTATATAAGCCAGTGCTGGGTATTGGGCATCTGTTGGGCTCTGACCTTTTTCAAAATCTTGGCTCCTGCCAAGGCTCCGGCCATTACTTGGCTCCGGCCATTACTTATTTGCATGTCAAATATACAATAATTTAGAATCATAAAAAATTTTTTGATAAATATTACATATATATATTTATTATCAAATAAATTTTTGATCAATTAATTTTCGGAATTCCAAAAGACAAATTTGCATCAATTCCACACTCATTATTTCCACGTTTAAATTTCAAAAAACCGGTTAAATTCTGACTAGTACCCCAAGAATTTCTAATTATCCAATAAGGTGTTTTCTCTTTATCACAATAAGCAGTTCCATATCCAACGATAACAACAGCATGTGGTTTATCATAATCACCCGAAACATGCTAAAAATAATAGAGATTCAAATAATGAAAATAGCTGGGTAAAACATGCATGAACATTGAGCTACCTAAACATTACTTGTCATTGTTTTTTTCATTTCTAAGAATTTATGAGGTAATCGGAGAAAATTGCCGGGTAACTTTCTGGTAATCTGGGTGAAGAATTGGAGAAGGCTCCACCATTTTTTGATTAATTCATAATGTCTTTTAAATGAGAGAGTGTTTCTATTTAGGAAAATACTGAGCAGCTAGTACAATGTTCGTGCATGTTTTGCTCGATAACGTTATTACAAAGTAAACTCCATCCTCCCCACTTGCGTAAAAATAAAAATCCTTATAGACATTATAGATAGCAACTACAGGTCCATTCTTATTAAGTTCGTCTATAATAGCCTGTTCTCCCTTTAAGGTACTAGTAGATGATACTGAACATAAGTATTAAACGGAAATACTGTAAAAAATACCGTAATTCTTTCTATCAGCATCATAAGGTACTCCCCATGTTTTGTTTGTACACTTATTATAGCAATCTTTGAGAATAGGGAATGAGTTTTTAGGTCCAAACGGATATGGTTTGCAGCCACCTTCGCCTAAATAATCCGATCCTGTACAAATTCCATTGACTTTTATCAATTCCCAAGCTTTGTAAGGCGAACCCCCTCTACAGTCATAATTAGATTTGTATTTAGATGAATTAGATGTGTATTCAGATGTACAAGAAAGCAATTCATACGAGGAAAATATAGTATTTGCAGTACGTAATGTACTCAGACCCTTTTTATCACGCTCAATACAATGGCGATCTGTGTAGGCGGAAGCAGTTGACATAGCCCAACAACAACCACAAAAAGCTTGATCAGGTACGTGATTGAGGAAAGGAGAACATTTTGGCCATTTATCGCGAACATCAAATTCTGTTGTGTAGTTGCATTTTTTAGTAGAATTTGATGTTTGTCTTTTACTTCTAATTGTTTGTATTCCCGTTACAGTTTCCATTTCAATATCAGTAACCCCAGAAAGTCTCTTCTGATACTCGTCTGGCAAGAGACTGAAGTACCCCAATTTAGCTGTCCAAATTCCATTAGTTAGTCCATTAATTAAAACTACATTTTGAGCAGTTGACTTGAGCTTTTCTTCAGTTACTTTTATGCCCATATCTCTTAGTAACCTTAGAACTTCTACAAGATTGTAAAGCTCTTGATAAGTCAAATCCAGAATTCCATTAAGAAGATTTCTTAGATAATTTATAATGTTATTTATTTTATCTTCACTTGCTCCAGTGATTAAACTGTCTAGTAAATCGTTGAGTTGATCAGATTTGGAGATTAATACAAGGTTTAATAATAATAATATTGAAAATAGAATAGCTATTTTCTTCATTTTTTAATAATAAATTTAAAAAGAAGGATAATTATTGTCTTTAATAAAAGTAGTTGAAGCTGGGAAATAACATTTAAATGGAACATTCAAATTAATAATTTAATAAAGTATGAACAAAATATTAAATTAAAATGTCGTCATGCTTTACTGATTTATTAAAAATATTTTCTTCCTGTCTATTTAATTTAAAGAGGAACTATTGTTTATGTATAACACATACATATTATGACGTGGGATTTAACAAAAAAAAATATTCTTATTTTCATAAAATTTCCTTTCATAAAACGTTTACCTAGTTTAAATAAATGTTTAAATAACAATTCTAGTAATGATTAAATAACAATTCACAAAACTTCCTCATCAGTTGTTCCTTTGCCCTAAATAATTGTTTCAATAGTAGTATATGAAAAAAAACAACATCAGACTAAATTTAATAAAAATAAAAAACGTTTAATGATTCTTTCTAAAGTAATATGAAATTATTAAATCACAGAAGAATTCATGGCTGTGAGTTGGACAAGACCTGACTCGATAGATTAAGGCTTTATTAGACTCTAAAAACTTGGATTTATAATCCTAGTTAATAAATCCATTATCTTAGTAAAAGGTTTTGAGCAGTAAATTAAAAGTAATTAATGTATTTTCTTAAAAGAAGGTTCCATAAACGTGTTAAATTTTTTAGATTATTTATTTACATAATATTATTTACATATAAAATCATATAAAATTATGATAAATATTTTGTAATTTTTTAAAAGTAAATGCTCATTCAATTAATTTTAGGAATTCCAAAAGAAACAGTTTGTTCAACTCCACATTCATTATTTCCACGTCGAAATTTGAGAAAACCTTTACCGGTTGAATTAGTACCCCAAGAATTTCTAATAATCCAGTAAGGTATTTTCTGATAACCACAAGAGGCAGTCCCATATCCAACAATAACAACTGCGTGGGATCTATCATAATCACCCCAAACGTGCTGAAAGTAAATAAAAAATAGATCAAAGAGTTAATGGTGAAAACAGCGAGGAAAACATTACGAACATTAACTTGGTAGTACGAACTAAGGTTGGCGGATAGTCCGGATATCTTGCCTTTTTTCGGATCCGCCAACCTTAGTACGAACTAAGCTAACTAAATAAGTGATGAGTTAAAATAGAAAGACAGATCAGTTAACTTAATGTTCGTGGATGTTTTGCTCGAGTTATACTTAAATATTACAAAGTAAACTCCATCAGATCCATCTGCGTGAGAATAAAAATCCTTATAGACAGAAAAGCAAGCAACTACAGGTCCATTTTTATTAAGTTCATCTTTAATAGCCTGTTCTCCTTTTAATGTACCAGTAGATGTTACTGAACATAAGTATTAAACAAAAGTTCCAAAATCAAAAATAATACCGTAATTCCTTCTATCAGTATCATAAGTTACTCCCCAATATGCGTTGGTACATGATTTCTTACAACTTTTGAGAATAGGGTATCTTTCTGTAGGTTTAAACGGATATGGTTTACATCCATTATTGCCATTGAAATCAGTTCCTGTACAAATTCCATTGCTTTTTATCGAATCCCACGCTTTGTGAGGCCAACCACCAGAACAGCCCTTCTCAGGTGAACAAGAGAGAACGTCAAATGATGAATATGTAAAAGAAGCATTATTTGGTGTGGTCAGACCTTTCTTGTCAAGTTCAATACAGTGGCGATCTGTGTAGACGGAAGAAGCTGAAATAGCCCAACAACTGCCACAAAGCCCTTGATTTTGTACGTGATTGATGAAAGGAGAACATTTTGGCCATTTATCGCGAACATCGAATTCCGTTTTGTAGTTGCAGTTTGCTTGGGATGCTTGTCTTTTACTCCTTTCTCCTGTGTCAACTTCAGATGTATCCCTTCCAGTTATATTTTCAACTTCAATATCAAATACCCCACAAAGCTTCTTCTGATCCTCGTCTGGTAAAAGACTGAAGAAGCCCAATTTAGCTTCCCAAATTCCATTAGTTCTTCCATTAATTATAGCTACATTTTGAGCAGTTAGCTTGAGCTTCTCATCAGTTATGTCTATGCCCATACTTTTTAGTAAATTTAAAACATCTACAAGTTTCAAAAGTTCTTGTTGGGTCAAATCCAAAATTCCATTTAAAAGACTTTTAAGATGATCTAAGAGTTGATTAAGTGTGTTGCCGACACCGCCGAGTAAACCGCCGGTTAAACCGCCTAGTAAATCGCCGAGTAAATCAGCTTTAGAATTTGAAAGGAAGTTTAATAATAATAATATTGAGAATATTTTAGCAAGTTTCTTCATTTTAGTTCCTAAAATGTACGTAGGTATATTAGTATGTATCAAGACAAAACTGTAAAGCATATAGATATTTAATTTCTAAAGCTGAGCATGAGGCGGATGGTATGGATAACGCATCAGTCCGGTCTACTCTTGATGCTGATTCGCTCCCAGCCGCTTAATAACCTTTTTCACTAACTAACGCTGAATAAAATTTTCCCTAAAGGAGAGAAATAGCTATAGCCCAGATAGCTTTACTAAACTTAAAAAGCAGAACCGAAATGCGGAAGGGCAAAATTAAGTGAAGGCGATATGCGAACTCGGAATTCCTGGCATATCATCTGACGTCCCGATATTCGTCCAACTCATATGATATTCTTCTTAGCCCTACAAATCCCCTGATTTATTGATTAAGAAAGTTTAGGAAGCATAATGGTTTCAGATAAGTAAAAATAATTGTTTATAAACATTATGACGTGGTATTTATCAAAACATTTATTTATCTTGAATGAAAGCTTCATATTTAAATGTTTATTTAACTAACATTTTCTTAAATTATCACTAAAAACATTCGAATTTCTCATCAATTGTTAGCCTTCTTTCTCCAATCTTTCATAATTTTTTATAATTCCACGATTTAAACAAAGACTAAATTTAGTATGAAAATAAACATTTAATGATTATTTTAGAAATGATATGAAATGAATAAATGACAAAAAAATGTTTTTATTTAAAATATAAAATTTGTTATTTTAATGTTTTATTTAATTTTAATAAATACAAATTTTATTTAACACGCTTTTAAATTTAACTGACAGTTCTTTAGTTATACATAGGATCAAGTGTTCAGCTTGATGCTTTGAAAATCTGAATGAAAACGTCGAAAATCTGAACTTGTAACTAGTAATTCCAATACATGAATATATAACCTCTCAGTCCCAATAAATGGGTATTGAGAGGTTATAAGTAGGGTTGTTCACTACCGGTTATTAACCGGTACCCCCGATTTTTCGGTTTCGGTTCGGTTAACCGACCGTGAACAACCCTAGTTATAAGTAATTAAGAGAAGAATCTTTTTTAGCCTTAATATCTGCCAAATCGCTGATACCCTCATTAATTCAATATCCCTTCAAATTTTATTCTCCTCATCCTGTATAGCCCATATCCTCTTCCTAACCAATTCTCAAAAATTTCACACGAGCCACTGAAAATGTTCTAAAAAGAATGTACTAAAATATTTCTTCCAATTTGGTGATAATTCTTGGTCTTAATGAACAGGTTTTATCTCTCTCTCTCTATTGGCCCTGAGATGATGTGCATTTTATTAAAGCCCGGACCGGATTCTTGTATGATTATCGAGGCACTGTATGAAGCCTCGATACAGTGCCTTATCGAGGCACTGTAAGAAGCCATGAGCACTATATGAAGCCTGCTATCTGAGAGGAACGAAAAGAGATATAAAAGATATGTCAATATGTGATTATTATTCGACTTGATGTTGAGAAATTAATGAATTTAAAAAATGTGATAAATTTATTAGTGAAGATGAAAAATAAAATTTTAATTATACATATTTATTTACGCCTTATGTAAAACTTCCAACGTTTTAAAATTTTTACATTATTTATTTACATAACAATTATACAATAATTTAAAGTCATAAATTATTAAATATTTAATATTATTGTAAAATAAATTTCCCGATCAATCAATTTTAGGAATTCCAAAAGATATTTGTGATTCAATTCCACATTCGTCATTTCCACGACGAAATTTGAGAAAGCCTTTACCGGTTGAATTAGTACCCCAAGAATTTCGAATAATCCAGTAAGGTATTTTCTCATAACCACAAGAAGCAGTTCCATATCCAACAATAACAACAGCATGATCACTATAATATCCACCCGAAGCTCTCTAAAAATAAATAAAAAATAAATTAAATGTTTAATATAGAGTGGCACAAAGTCGAGGCACCACAGAGCCGAGGACCTTGCCAATTTTTCAACCTCGACCTCGATTTTGCTTGACACGGAAGTAGTGTATTACATAATAAGGTATTACATAGTAAACTCCATCAGGTTCATCAGCGAAAGAAAAGAAATCCTCATAGATAGAAAAGCCTGCAACTACAGGCCCATTTTTATGAAGCTCCTTTATAATAGCCTTTTCTCCTTTTAATGTACCATATGATGATACTGAACATAACAATTAAAAGGAAATACTGTAAAAAATACCGTAATTCTTTCTATCAGCATCATAAGGTACTCCCCACTTTTTGTTGGTACAAAAGTTATAGCAACTGTTGACAATAGGGTTTGTGTCATCAGGTCCGAACGGATATGGTTTGCATCCACTATCCTCAAAATAATCAGATCCTGTACAAATTCCATTGCTTTCTATATATTCCCACGCATCGTTCGGTAAGCCACCGTCACAGCCAAGCCCTGGTGCACAAGAAAGCAATTCATATGCCGAAAATATGTTGCTAGCATTATGTGGTGTGATCAGACCCTTTTTGTCACTTTCAATACAATGACGATCTGTGAAGACGGAAGCAACTGCTATAGCCCAACTACTGCCACAAATTCCTTGATTTTCTACGTGATTGATGAAGGAGGAACATTTTGGCCATTTGTCACGAACATCGAATTCTGTTTCATAATATTCGCATTTTATAGTATCATTTGGTACAGTTTCAACATCTATATCAGATTCAGCTTTAGAATTTGAAATAAAATTTAATACTAAGAATAAAAATATAGTAGCTATATTCCCCATCCTTCTTAACTAAAAATAGATTATTTAATATAAAATACATTATATAGTAAATGCTCTAATAGAACAACACTCTCCATTTGAAGCACACTCCCTAATATAATTACACCCTACGAGACGCGGGACAGGATTCCGCGCGGGGCAGGATCTCCCGCGTCCTGCAACTTTTATTGTATGTATATTATCGGTATTGGGCATTATCGCTATACATATAATAAAAATTTGAAAAAGTCGGAAAATAATTAGTTTTAAATAAATACTATTATATGTAGATTGCACTATAAGATATAAAAAATTATTAAATATTTGGCCTTGAACCTAAAAAACCGTACCTTATAATGAATTTATGGTAAATAGAGGGTATTGGTTTTTAGGTTTAGGCAAAAGGGTTATGAAAAACATATTGAACTAGCTCGCTTTGATTGTTCTAAAGTAGAGGAAAAAATTTAATTTGGTTATCATAAATGGTTTGAGATAAGCCAAAATAATTATAAATAGCTTTTAGCTTTTGGAATGATATAATTCTTCTTGGATACGTGGTTATTTAACAAAATATATTTTTAAATTTGAAACGAAAATCTTTAATGTTTACCAACATTTATTTAAAATATTGTCGCTAAAGCAGACAACTTCCTCATCAATTGCTAGCCTTTCCACGAATATAATGAAAGACAACTTTAGATAATAAAAATAAAGAAATGAAACGTTTAATTATTTAAAAAAATGACGTTAATTATGAAATGACAGCATATTTAAATTTAAAAAATCAAAAATTAAAATAAGAATTTTCAGAAATTTCAAGCCAATAGACATCTTTGCCAAAAAAGTCTTTGCCAAAAATCTTTGCCAAAAAAGTCTTTGCCAAAAAATATAGGTTTATTTTAAGGGATACAAAATCACAGCCGCAAAAGCAACTCGCCAACTTTAATAGGGTCACCTTTTGCCCATATATAGGGCATGGACTTTTTGGTAAGACTCGTTATCAAGTGATATAAATAAATGACACAACCTAATAGAATTTTTTGATAATTACATTTTAGTTAATAATAGAGCCACTTAAGCTCTCTAATAGAGCCACTTATGCTGTTACATACATATTTTTCGATCCCTCCCATAGGGTATATCTATAAAAAGAGTAATTTTATTGAAGAATTTGCGCGGTGATAATATTATGTTTAATTTAATAAAATAAATATTTCTTTAGTATTATTTCATTTGTTTGATTGAAAAGGGGTTGGTCTGTTTAAATTCTTCGTTAAAATTCAAGTTGAACTAACTAAATCAAAATGGATTTAAAATTTTAGTTAATTATAGAAGAAGCATTAGGAAAATTAAAATTTATTTACTAAATAGAAAAGGATTTTTATAAATTAGTACATTAATTTAAAAATTAAGAAAATAAAAAAATCAGAAAATAGTAAAGAATCAAGAAGAGGTGTAAAGTTGTTTAGTTGTTAGTTGTTTTTTTTGTTAGTTCCCATCATTTTATATTAATTCAGAAAGCTCTTTCATAACCAATTCAAGGTCCTGTGCCTGAAAAATTATTGGTTTATTCATAGAAAATTATATTATTGAAGAGGGACTGGGTTTTTTTTGGCACGAGCCGATAAAAACAGACAAATGCTAGGTTGACCAAAAATTTCAGAATTTTAATGAGAATTCCTAAAAATGCAAAATCTTTTGGGCACATCTTCAGAAATATTTAATGAAAAATTTGAAATTTCTGGAGGAATTCCGCACGTCAAAACGACCCCAACCCTAGCGAAAACAATCTTGGGAGCTGCTATCAAGAATATGTAAAAATACCTCTATATACAATATTATCATTAATAGAATGGCCGTCTCCATTTGAATGGCCGTCTCTAATAGAATAGCCCCTTGGAGGGTGATTGAAAAATAGAATTCTATTAGAGATAATACGGTAATTAAAAATATTTATACCCCAATCTACTACATACATATCTGTCATATCCATCCATTCACTTGTCAGAATTTATAGGCTTCGGAGGGGGCTAAAACATGATATGACCGGGGCTGCGTCTTACAGAAGCATCGAAGCTCTAAGCAGCAAAGCTCTCTAAACAGCAAGCCAGCTAATGTGGGGATTTTCATTTCCAATGCTATTTTTTGTCGCAAAACGCAAGACGCTTTTTATGTAAACACGGCATTATAGAGATTTTACTGTATGTACAAATTTCAGGATAGGACGGGCATAAACTTAAGAAAGATAACAGTTTCAATTCCTGCTCGATAACTAAACTTATATTCCTTAAATGCTGATCTTTATCAAAATATAAATCTTTAATGTATAGTACCTGGACTTTTTTGGTCATTTGGTCCAGTCGGAACTAATCGGCCTTCCACAGACAATAAAGCCATGATAGCGAACACCATTAAAGGAATTAAGAAGCTAATGGAATTTTTAATTTGTTGGATCATTTTTGAGGATATTTTAATAATTTTTTAAATTTTTAAAAATAATTCTTAAAAAGATGGAATAAAGGAGCTTTAAATATTCAAAGATCTTATTGAAAATTTATTTATTTAGATGTTAAAGAGAATATAATTTTTTAAAATAAAAAAATTATTTTTTAAAAATAATTAAAAAATTATATAAAAAATTATAAAAAATTATAAATAATCCCTCCAAATACCCTCCCATTCAATACATACTCTCCCATCTATTCTAATCAAATGATTAAACATAAAGATATTTAAAAAATTTTATTTTTAATTTTTAATTTTTTAGAATTCTTTTTTTAATTTATAAAAATTTTTAAAATTTATTTTTTTTTAATTTCTATTAATTTTTATTTTTTTGTTTCCTCATTTGAAATGCCACATTTTAAAATATTTTATAAAATAAATTTAAATTGGTAAATGTATAAATAAATACACAAATTTTGAGCAACGTGGATTTTCAAATATCGCAATTAATTTTAATCCAAAGCTCAATTCATAGCTTAAAATTTTTAAATAAATTTCAAAGCTCAGAAACCTTTGAGAAAAGTTTTTAATGAATGGCACTAAATAACCTTTTTAAATTTTCTAATGGAGAAATTTTAGATTTTTAAATTTCTGGTTAGAGATCAGAGGTGGGTCTGACCAGTCAGAGGTGTCGGAAATCGGAAGAGCTGGAAATCGGAACTGGCTCAAAAGTCGGAACTCGGAACTCGGAAATTTAAACTTCAACATTCGGAAATCGGAATTCCTACCCACCTCTGGTAGGGATATGATTTAGGCTTCGACTTTTATAAATTCTGATTCTTATTTACTTCCTGTACCTGATTTGCTCCTGTTCAGAGGTAAGAACTCAAACATCGTGTCATTTAAATTCCCTGTCTTCGGGAGCTTGGTCTTGCAAAATAGAACACAGGATTAACCCATCTTTGACTTTTATAAATTCCCGAAATTCTTTATAACCATTCTAATTTATTTTTAGATCCAAATATTTACAAACAAAATATGATGTTCTTCAAATCCCTCAAAGATATCCAAATAATATTCATTATGCTTATCTTCAGTGTAATTATTCTTCAATAAACACAGGCTTGCATTTAACCTAATAAAAAATGCCATCCAGAACGAAATGCAGAAACATGTTGTAAATATCATCATTGTAGCGCAGAGACGGGGTGGGTATGTGTAAAAAATAAAGGAAATGAAGAGGAATTGGTTAACAATTGCAATAATGGAACTTGCTAAGATGAAATTTAAAAATGAATTTTCCTGGAAATTAAAAAAAAACAAAAAAAGGGGACTTTTTTAATTTTAAAAATGGGCCTTTTAAATAATTCTAAATTATAAATTAAATACATTTAATTTTTAAAAGTGCTATAAAAAAGTATTTTTTGGGATAAATTAACTATTAATTATTAAATCCTTTTTAACAATTAATTTAATTTAAATTAAAAAGCTAATAATTTTATGTTTTCAATAACGGTAAATTTTCCAAATAAATTCTTTAAAATGATTAATTTTAAAATAAAGTCCATTTCTCTCCTTTACGTAGATGATGGCTGAGGAGGGTCGGAACAGTCAGAGGTGTCGGAAATCGGAAGAGTCGGAACTCGGAAATCGGAAATCAAAATTTTTTTCGGAAATTGCAAGTAGGAATTCTGACCCACCTCTGGTAGAGGGACAGAAAATTGGAAATATAAAATTTTATTGCCGATTGTACTTAAAATATTTGATTAAACATATAAAATTTCCTTGGCATATAGTTTAGACAATTTTAAAAAATATAAAATAAATAAAAAAAATTTTTTAATTCGATTCTTGTTTACAAAAAAAAGTACAATCATAAAAAACACTGCCTCTATTCCAAATTTTATCATAAGACAGCTAATAAATTTTAAAGTTTTATAGGTTCAAATGTGTTAAATATTAAACAAAAATGTGACAACTTTATTTTTTATTATTATCTAAAGTTACGATTGTACTTTTTAAATAGAATTTTCTTTTCGAATTTTTCGGACATTTAAAATTTCAATAAAAAAATTTTTTTATATGAATCTGAACATAAAAATTTTATTATTAAAAATTCCCAGACTAAATAGTACAAAATATTGGGTATAAAAGAATTTTTGGTTAATCAAGTAAGTATCTTCAGATAAAAATTTTATTCCGAAATTTCACATTTTCTTTAAATTAATGATGCCCTATAAATTTTTGCCTTAAAATATAAGTAAGGCCCCTAATGTCACTTTAATTGAAGAATTGTGTATAAGTTCAAAAATATGTAGTTCTTATTAGGGAAGAAGGTTAAGGGCTAGGTATTTCTTTCTCCAATTTAAGGCCACAAATCCGTTAACTAGAACAAATTTAAAAGCCGTTTCCTAAGGCTGTGCAGTAGCCGGCATGTTGTAATGGCTAACACATCAGTCCGGTCTACCGAAGATGCTGGTTCGCTCTTGCCGCCGAATAACCTTTTGCACTAGCTGAAGGAAAGAAATAGCTATATCCCAATTTTGCTATACACTCTGTTCCAAAATTATAAGGTCACCCCTATTTTTATCATATCTCATCGAAAAACCATCAAAATTTTTTGAAATTTTTACATAATTTATATCTTTCTATTTAATGTGGATTTTTGCCACTATTAGAAACCTAAAAACAGAGGTGACCTTATAATTATGGAATACCTTAAATTTATTTTTTTGGTCATAAAAAATTTTTTAAGGTAGCTACAAATTTGATTTTTTTAAGACAGATTTTAAATAGAAAGATATAAATTATGTAAAAATTTCAAAAAATTTTGATGGTTTTTCAATGAGATATAAAAAATAGGGGTGACCTTATAATTTTGGAACAGAGTGTACTTTAGTTATGAATATCTATTAAGATGCTTAAAAAAGAGATTAAATGGGTAATTCAAACAAAATAAATTTTTATACCCATGCCCTTCATGTTTTTTTCAATTTAATTGGACCTTCTTGTAAATTATTTGATTATCCTCTCGGGAGGATAAACAACTTTATTTGATTAATTTTATTTTTAAGAAATAAGAAAAAAAGAATGTTCTTTAATAAAGTTGAATTAATTTTTGTCATTATTTTTTTGACTTTTCTTTTTTACAATGAAATAAATGGATGTATATATAAATATAATTATCCAACTTACACTCATAAATGCGATCCTACAAGAAATGCATATGATTGTTGTGCAGGCTTAAAATGCACTGCAGCCACTGGTTGGAAGTGTCTTTAACTGAGTGGTTGATTACGAGATGAAAATGAACTGAATAAGAATGATGTTAATAATGGAATATATAAAAATTAATATTATAATTAAGTGATTTAATTATTAAATAGTGTTTCTTCATTTTCGCTTTCATTACTATGTATTTTGGATAAATAAAAACTTTACTTTCAGCTTTTATCTTGTAGATATTTATTGAAATTTTTAAGTAGGAAAAAAGTACCAAATAAATTTAAAATAAAGTCCATTACTTTCCTTTACGTAGTAAATGGCAGAGGTGTCGAAAATCGGAAGGGCCTGAAATCGGAAATGGCTCAAAATCGGAAATCAATATTTTTTCGGAAATTAGAAGTTGGAATTCTGACCCACCTTTGTTAGATGTGACAGAAAATTAGAAATATAAAATTTTATTGTCGACTGTACTTAAATATTAAATTAGACCTTTGGTCTCCTTGTATAGGGTATTGCATGGGAATCCCGGAATTTCCGGCCTACCGGAACCGGAACTTCCGGTAAAGCTCTAGTATCTTATAATTATTTAACAGAATGTATTTAATTATTGTAGAGAGTAATCATAAAGGACAACAAAATAATCATAAAGGACAACAGTTCCTTAAATTCGTTCAATTTTTTATTTTAATGTGTTAAAGATAATTTTTAATTGTTGCTAGTCCTCTAAGTCTATAAAAATTAAAATTTTATTTTAAAAAAATTTTATTTTTATTTGTTAATACAGCTTTAATATTTAAATAATAATGACAATTTAAAAAAAATTATTTAATTTCCGGTATTTAATTTCCTTTTTATTTATTAAATAGAGTCGGAGCTCGATATTTAATACAACCTTGGACTGAAAACTTGTCTTAAAATGAGTACTTATTCTTAATTAAATGTATTACTTTGAGTGCTCAACACACGTGGAAAAATTAAATGTGGCTAACATTCTTTTACAATTAAGAAGAATAATTTGTTTGAAAGTATGAACAAATAAAAAATTTTTAATAAAAAATTCCCAGACTAAATGTTTCGAATAAATATAAAGTACAAGATATTAGGTATAAAAGAACGTTTATATGAACAGATATAATGAATTAAATTCAATTTTTAATTTTGAAAATTATTAACAACTTCGCACATTTTCATATAATTTGTAAGGGTAACAAGCAGGTTCGGAGGGAAATTATACCATATATGCTGAAATAATAATTAACTATAGGGTTGCCGGTTCTGGACCGAAGCAAACCGAAGAACCGATGATTTTTCGGTTCGGATATCGGTTCGGTTCACGATATTCGAAGATTTAGTAATAGTCCCCCTTTTTTCTCCCAAAAGTTCCCTATAAATTTATACAAAATGGGAAGAACTACATATATTTTGCCCATAAACAATCAAAAATGATTATTTTTCCAGATCTTTAGAAAGAAAGGAAGGCATTTGGAAGGAAAGTCTGTCCATTCTGTACAAATTATAGGAAAAAACTTGGGGAGGAAAAAAGAGAAAAAGAGGAAGGAAAAAAAAGGAATTACCGAAGATTTTCCAAGTACCGACAACCCTAATTAACTACTCTCAAATAAGTACTTCCTACTTTTTCTACTATTTATAAAATAGGAATAGCCTATGTTAACACAAAATTTTCGTCTGCTGGGCTACTGGGACTAACACAATTACGAAGACAAAGTCAATTGTTCGGATACGTCATTTATTGTTTTCTTTGAATAATTATATACCTTTATTGTTTGTAGATTATCTCCGTAAGTGTGATTGGTCCTGTTTACTAAATCTGTTTGAAATTATGGGTAAAATAATGGGTATTGTATGGGTATTTTATTTCCGGAGCCCTCCATGTTGTGTTTAAGCCTTGGTCCATAAAAAATTACAAATCATTAAAACCCTAATAGGTAATGTTTAATTTCCTTTATTTTTTATTTTTTAAGAAATTAAAAAAATGTTCATCAATAAACTTCAATTAATTTTTGTTATTATTTTCTTCACTTTCCTTTGCTGCTACGAAATAGATGCATGTATACAAGAATATGGCAAAAATGGTTATACTCATAAATGCGATCCTACTAGGAAGGCAACTAATTGTTGTGCAGGCTTAAAATGCACTGCAGCCACTGGTTGGAAGTGTGTTAAAACAAGTGGTTGATTTCGAGATGAAAATGAACTGATTAAAAATGATGTTAATAATGGAATATATAAAAATTAATATTTGTTAATGGGTGATTTAATTAAATAGCTTTTTTTTAATTTCTCGCTTCATTACTATGTTGGATAAATAAAAACTTACTTTCAGCTTTTATCTATTAGGTATCTATTGAAATTTTGTAAGTACAATTGTTAGTTTCAGCCTCAACCGAATCTAAAGCCCCTCTGACCCCCTGCCCATTTTAATTATTATCCCTTTCATGCATGAGACGTCTATAAACTAATTATTATTACCGCGGTTTCCCTCCTGTAATTCTCTTATACCGACATTCATGTTTCCTACGGCAACACTTAATTATGGAATGACACAAGTACTCAATGCGCTTGCCAGGCAGAAAAGAAATATCTCAACAATCATTCACCCCTACTACTCGGCAGCGATTCAATCAATTCCACCGAATACCTTTGCTCGCCACCTATATGCCTACATTCTTACTCTTCTTAGCTGATTGAATACTGCAAAAATTTAAAATAAAATTTCCAAAATCAGAGATCAACTACAACTGATTTATTCAAATTTCAAAGCCATTTTTATAAATAAAACAACACCAAAATTAAATCACACAATTATACAGTTGGAATTCCATAAGAAATTTCATCTTTTTCAAATCCACATTCATTCACCCCACGACGAATTTTGAAAAGGCCTTCATCGCCCCAATCGGTTCCCCAAGAATTTTTTACAAGCCAAAAAGGCATTTCCTTTCCATTGCAGGTTTGTTTTCCATGTCCAATAACAACAACTGCATGCCCTCCTACTTCTGTAGCGTTTGGTGTTTTCTAAATTTTATTTTTATTTATCAAAATATCCGCAAATATTTACAAAATAGACTCCTGTTTTGTATGAGAAAAAGTCTTTGTAGACCATAAATGCAGCTACTAGAGGACCATTGGTTTGAAGTTCCTCTATTATAGCTTGTTCTGTAGAGTTATTTTCGTTTAGAAAAGCAACGGAGTTAACTGTAAATTTTATTAGATTTGACTTAATTCACTCAAAGATACCAAAATGCTTGTCATCCGAATATTCGGTAGTCCAATCTGTGTTTTTACATTCTGCTTCGCACTTTACTTGTTCAGCTTTTCCTTTTGGTTCGTAAGGATAAGGCTTGCATCCATTGTTCCAAACATGATCTGTCCCTGTACACACTCCATTGCTCTGTATCCATTGCCATGCTTTAGAAGGCCATCCACCTTCACAACCATCATAATCAATCGAACAGCTCATCACGTCAGTTGAAGAAAAATGGAGGGAAGGATCATCAATGGACGTACTCAACCCATTTATTAAACGTTGAATACAACTACGATCAGTGTAAGCAGAAGCTGTCGACACAGCCCAACAGCTGCCACATCTACCCTGATTTTGAATATAGTTGATGAAGGAGTAGCAATCTGGCCATTGTTCTCGAGCATCGAATTCAATTTCAGTTTCACAATCATCGTTGTTAGCCAACTTTTCGAGTATAGGAAATTCCGGTTTTCCGCCCCCATTTTTGCCTCTTCCACTATTTTGTACTCCACAAATTCTCTTTTGCTCATTTTCCGGTAAAAGGGAGTAATAATTTACTTTTGCTTTCCAATATCCCCCATTTTGCTCATTAATTTGTGCAATATCTCCAGCGATCTTCCTAATTTGTTCTTCATTTATCTCAACATCATAAACCTCTTTTATTAAAGAAATTTCTTCAGCGAGTTTCTTAACTTCTTCCTCGTTTAATTTGCCGTCAAACACGTTACCTATTATGTTTAGTATCTCAGAAGATTCGAAGGAAGCGATTAAAGCGAATTGTAGGGAGAAGAAGATAAGGAGGATATTAAGCATAATTTTACGTGTTAGTTCAGGTGGGGGATTTTGTAAATTATTTAGAGGAAATATTTAAAGGAAATTGGTGTATAATTCCCTATAAATCAGCTCTATTTATATTCAATCTCGTTAAAATAAAAAATTTTTATGACAATAATTATTAAAGCAACATTTTCTATATTTATGGGATAATAAATATTCCAGACATTTTTTGAACAATTACTTTACTAAAAATTATTTGTTTGTGATTTTTGATTATTTAAAGTTAAAAAGGAAAAATAAATATATTTTTATATTTTATTTATCAACAATAAAAAATATTTATAGAAGGAATAATAAAAACATTTTTTGATTAAAAAATAATGCATATTAATTTAATAATTTGATTTTATTTTACAGAAGATAAATCCAATTTATGTCGATATACTCTGGTAGCTAATTATACGCACCCCCTATTTTTTAGGTTTTTTAAACTGAAAAGGGATTGTGGCTTTCCAGTTTTTTGAGTAGAAAACTTCAATACGTAGAATCCGTTTTCAGTTTGAAAGACCCAAAAAATAGAAGGTGCGTATACATAATTAGTTAGCAGAGTTAGTTTAGTATCCCTAGACCCTACGGCTACAATGTTAGTAACTATCAGTGCTGGGTGGGCATTTGTTGGCTCCGGCCAACTCCCGGAGCTATATCCAGCACTGGTTAGTACTATACTTCTTTGGTTAATAATTTTATTATAAAATTGTCTACTCAAACTGATTTGCACTAAGAAAAGTTTTCAATTATATTTAAATTTAAAGTCATATAAACGCGCTTATGTTTTTATTTTTGAGTTGCTCCGAAATGCCCTAGTGATATTTTGAACAGAAACTTTAATATAAATATTATTAATTTTTTTAATTTTATTATTAATAAAATTAAATTAATTTTCTTCCTTTTCCCTATCCCTAATCAATCGACAATTAACATTAGTAAAGTCGATAAAAAAATTTTTTGCCAGTCGAATTCCCTAGCTATTCTAAGCATTTTACATAGTAAGAGAGAGGATTGATTGGATAGAGTAATTGCCAAATATATTTATTGCCAAATAATTTCTATGTTGAAAAGAGTTGCTTCCAGGGGCCTATTTCTCCCCTCCACAGATTCTGTGTATGTTTCTGCAAAATCTGCGGAACCCATTTTCCGCAGAATCTGTGGAACTGCAGAAATAGAAATTCTGTGGTCTTTGTACAGAATTTTATCTGCAGAATCTGTTGAGGGGAGAAATAGGCCCCAACCAAAATGCCTGCGGATATCCGCCTGTATCCGTCTGTATCCGCCTTAAATATCCGGATACGGATACCGAAATCCGTATCTGTGTCCTAGTCTGCAATTAATGCTTATGTACTTAGATTACACAGAGACTATAAAGTTTAAAAAAAGTTTTCAAACAACTCAACATTAGCTGATAAACACTTGAGGAAACATTATCCTGTTTATCATAATTGCGAAACTGTCGATGCGTCAATAATACATACATATGTTTAATAGTCGTTAAACGCACGCGCATCCTGTTAATTTAAAAATTGCCATTCACTCATTCATTCGCGCCTTATTTTAATTTTTTTAATATATAATTTTTATAAGTTGCCCTTTCTATTGCCAATGTTTAAAATATTTCTCGGCCTTACAAATGAAAATTTTTAATTTAAAATAAATGTTTTTAAGGTTAAAAAAAGAAAGTTTACATATTTTCCTTATGTTTTGGCATTAGAAAAATAAACAATACTTTTAAGATCTTATTTTAAAAGACTAAGAACTTTCAGATTTTAGCTTAGACCGATAGATTTTCTGAACTTATACCTGTTTTGGCATTCAAAAATTATGTTTATGTCATAATAGTTACTAGTTTTATATTAGGTATTTCATCATTTTTAAAAGCTATAAAATGAATTTCTTAAAAATTCCAATTTTTCTTTGTTTTTTATTAACTTTAACTGAATGTATGGATGATAAAGGAGGTAAAAAGAAAGGAAAAGCTGAAGGAAGTGGTGAGCGTTTTAATTTTATATCTGGTCGGTATCTTCAGTAAATAGAGGAGATACGGTACTCCCTTCCTGAAATCCTATAAAATTCCTGAAATCCTATAAAACCTTTTACTACTGATTTTATGTATCATAACCTGATTTATAATAAAATAAAAGTTAAATATTCCCAAATTCATAATAATTTCTTCCTTCAAATCTAAGAAATAATTGAATTTAGGTACCTATATTTAAATTTTTAAGATAAAAAATTTGCTCGAATTCCAAGTTTTCAATCTAGTACAAATCCAGGTTTGATCTAGTGCAAATTTGTTTTACTTATCCAAAGATTATGATGAAAAATTCGGAAAAATCTGTGTTTTATTTATTTTTAATTCCGTCTACAAAAACTACAATCTACCCCCCACCCCCAACCCTAAAGATTCTGTAGACAAAAAATACAACTTGTTTCCTATTTTCTACAGAACAATAGTCGACAGGCCCAAAGTAAATTAAATTAATTGGTTATTTATAACAACCATTCAAAGCTTATTATGTAGTATAAAGTCTGTCCAGTAGGCGGCGTGGTGTAATGGCTAACACATCAGTCCGGTCTACTGAAAATGCTGGTTCGCTCCCAGCCGCCGATTAACCTTTTGCACTAGCTAAAGGAGAGAAATAGCTATAGTCTAGCTGCTTTGCTCTAGTTATCCCATACCCTCCTCTTAATCTTATTAGTTTAAAAATAAACTGATGTTTTGAAACTTTGTCTAAAATGCCCACTAAAATGCCCCCGGCTCGAGGAATATCGAAGAATATCGAAAAATATCAAAGATTAATTAATTACAATAAATTTAAAAGAAAAAAGTATATGAATCTCTTAAATTATTATATTAAGTCAATGATCCTTTGAAACAAGTAATGCTTCAACTTAAAAATGAAATAAAAGAATTAGAAAAAACTGGACAAACGGATACTCAAGAATATTTTGGTAAGCTTGAACTGTTGAAAGACTGTGAAAATACTATTGAAGTTGATCGCAAATTTCATCAAAAATTTTCAAGTAAGATTAAAAATGTGTAAAATTAAATTGTTTGTGTTTATAATTAGAGCCCGGACGGTACCGTGCTACCAACGGTACCAAAAAATTTTATAAAGAATTAATTATAAAAATTATACATTTAAAGATATTATTTAAGCCCCCAAACATGTATTGCCTCGTAATCCAAATCCCGGTAGTAAGTAGTATATAGTGGACAAATATATCATAAATTTCATTTTTGATATATTTGTCTACTATTCATTTCTACAAATATATTTTAAGACAATGGGAAAATGTGTATTAATTCAAACCTTTTCCATGTATTATTCTGTCAAAAATTTTCGACTACACAAAAATTCTTTACAATCTTTTCAATAGGTTTATGGGGGGTTTAAAAATTAAACCAACGTTGCGTAACTTGCCAGATCGGACGGGCGGGCACATTTACACATCAGTACGGACGTAATTAGAGGATCGATTAATTTTTAATATATGTATTAAAAGAACAGAAAATGCTTCAATTCAAAACTGAAGCACAGAAAATGCTTCAATTCAAAACTGAAGCACAGAAAATGCTTCAATTCAAAACTGAAGCACAGAAAATGCTTCAATTCAAAACTGAAGCACAGAAAATGCTTCAACTCAAAACTGAAGCACAGAAAATGCTTCAATTCAAAACTAAAGCACAGAAAATGCTTCAACTCAAAACTGAAGCACAGAAAATGCTTCAACTCAAAACTGAAGCACAGAAAATGCTTCAATTCAAAACTGAAGCACAGAAAATGCTTCAATTCAAAACTGAAGCACAGAAAATGCTTCAATTCAAAACTGAAGCACAGAAAATGCTTCAATTCAAAACTGAAGCACAGAAAATGCTTCAACTCAAAATTGAAGGATCCACTAGTAAAAGAGATGATTAAAGAGACACGTGGAGAAAGTAGTACGGAGGAAAGTTCCGAAAATCAATCAGGCAGCGGTAAGAGAAAAAAGATAAATTTATTTAGTTCATTTGTATAAAGATCGAAATAACCATGTTTATTATACTGTTCTTTTATAGATTCGACAGCGCGTCTTTTACGAAAATTCCCATAAATTCTTTTTTTATTCTCTTCAAGCCTCTGTTCCTCACGCTCACGATCCAATTCCTTTTTCCATACATCAAGCAAAACTGCATTAATAGCCTCTTCTAATGCCTCTTCTGAGGCAAAGGACAAATCTGGTATCTCGATACGAATTGGTAAAAGTTCATTTCCGTATCTTCGAAAAACGGTTATTGATTCTTGTTCATCAGAATCGCCGGCCAATGAAAAAGAAAACGGATATATAATATTAGATAGTGCAACAGTCCAACTTGAATCCAATTCAAGAGTGTCAGGCATTCGAACAGTAAATTTAGAAGTGGTATTTCCTTCAACCCCTCCTGTATTTGAGGGTAATATAACATAAAAGGAGTCCATATTTATCTTCTAACAATATCGCTATCGTTAACCCAACTATTAAAATTATCGTTATATCCTATCCAACGAACAAAATGTTGCTTAATCCCTGCACGTATACGGGTTTTTAAAATTTCAGCAATACGGTGAGTTGTATCTTCTTGTGTGGGTACCAATTCTTCTCTATAAAATATCCCTTCAATTAAATTTCCTTCAAAATCTTTTAACTTATATGTAATGGGCGATCTATTGTCGTTTTTAATATGTACGCGAAACAATTCGTCAGTGTAGTTGGGTAAATATCCCTTTTCAAATTTCCCTTTTTCTTTAGTGATACGAACAATTTGTCCTGGCTCAAGTATTGAACTTGTTTTAGTATTTTGTATATTTTTAGGATCCTTATATAGTCTGTTAAAAAGTTCCCCAGCATTCTTAAACGTAACAGAATTTGGAGTCACGCCCGTGGTTCGATTAATACTTGCATTTATTCCTGAAACAATTTTTTGAATAACATCTATCCAACGCAATGTGTTCTTTTCGCTAAAGTATCTGTACAATCGCTCTTTGATAGTACGGTTGGCCCTTTCTGCCATAGATGCATGCACATCTGGACTATAAACTACTCGCTTATCTATGTCCTTCTTTTTAAAATATTCTTTCATTCGTTTCGCCTCAAATTCTAAACCTCGATCCGTATATAATTTATGTGGAAGTATTCCTTTTGAAAGTTTAAAAATATTTTCGAACGCATCAATCATATTCTCAGAACTCTTAGATTTGGCAGGCACCGCAAAAATTTTTCTACTTAGTACATCAATACAAACCAAAAGGTATTTGTACCCATCATTATATTTAGCTAACTGATCAAAAATTGCCAAATCCGCTTGCCAATCTGTGTGTAAACCGCTTGGTCTAGTGGCCATTCTAGGAAACTTTTTTCTTAGAGGCCTATGCATTGTGTACACTCTTTGCTTATGAAGAAAATCATAAACATATTGAAATTTTATTTTCGGGTATTTACGACGCGCTTCTTCATAGACCCGATTTATTCCAGCATAGGAGGCGGGTGAATTAAGTGAATAATATATTTTTTCTAAGAATTTTCCAACACATTTTTGAGCTGACGACGCTTCTTATATAACCAATTGTATTTCTTTGCTTTTAAATCTTCCGAAATTTTTGGGTTATCGAGGGTTTTCATAATATCTACATCTGTTTGTGTCTTTTCTTTTTGTAGAAAGTCACCACCTTTAATCATGCCTAAAAGCGTAAGATATTCGCTCTCAGGCACCATAATCATTTTCTTTGTATGTTTCATTCTTGAGAGAATTTATGAATAATGTGTTCAGCTAAAGCTCCCAAGACGGGTACAAGTATTGCTGCTAAAGCGGCACTGCCTCCTTGTTGGATTCGATTTCTAGCACTTTTTTCAGTACGCGTCCGAGCGATTGCTCTGTAAAAGTCAGCAAATTGCGCTAATTTCTTGCGCTGTCTCCTACTTAGTGTAAAATTATTCTTTAGAATATTAGCACAAATTTCCACAATTGCTAAAATTTGATCTGCGCTTGCTGAAAGAATAAGAGCGTTTTTCTTTTTATCTGAAGTAGTTTTTGATAATTGTTGAAGAAACTCAAAATTATCCTTAACGTATGGGCTATAGTTATACGTGGGCATTTTTATTTATAGCATTTTTGAGCACTTATATATTACATAGGCAGATATATAGTAGTTTTTTCTCCAGGAAAAATTTTTGTAGATAATCGCATATTTTCATCTGTGCTAGGATGCATGTTTATCAATAAATAAGAAAAACGTTCCGATGTTGCATCTCGATAGGCTTCAAGAAAATAATTAAGCATTTTTGGGAAAAGCTGCGAGCCGAGTGTCCGTACTTGCAGAAGACCTTGAGGGTTTTTTGTTAAAAGAATGTAATGGGCATTTGCTCTTGCAGTCTTTATATCGCGACCGTATAGGGATTGAGTTACAAAAATCACACTTACTCTCCAATTATGTGAACCGCGAGTAAAAAGTAAATCTAGAAAATCATTTGGAATATTAAGCATTAAGTCATCTAGAACTAAAAGCTGATGCTGCTTAATTAGTTCAGATTCAGGAACCCCATTATAAGTAGTGATTCCCATCTCCTTGAGCTTAAAAACAGTTTCATTCATTTCTCCAAAACAGTACAAAATTTTTGAAGGAGAAGGATCAATAAGTTGGTCAGAATGTTCAAGAAATTTTAATAACCATTGAGTTTTGCCACTTCCTGTGGCACCCGAAATTATCATAGTGAAAGGAGCTGTGAACATTTTTTTATTTAACAATAAATTCTTGAAATTATTTATATAGGACCTTAAAATGTATCAAAAAGCAATTATTCAAAACGTGGTATCTACAGCTAGTCTACTTGAAGGTGACAACAAATTAAATCTTAATAATCTTGCAGCTAATATTCCTAATGCTAAATATCGTCCTGAGCGCTTTTCTGCTCTAACAATAAAGATAAAAGACCCAATAACTGCTACAGCACTACTTTTTGCAAATGGAAGAATAGTTTGTGTGGGAACAAAATCATCAAAGGATTCTAAAATCGCAATTCACAATTTTGTTAAAATAATTTCCGCAGCAGCCGAGATATTCATAAATATGCACAATTTTAGAATTCAGAATATAGTTTCTTCGTTTACCTTTGGAGGATTCATAAATATGCCAGGTATCTTAATTATTGAGTAAAAAATAATTTTTAGCCTTGTATGATTCGATGCGGTTCGCACCGCCCACATGGTTGGCTAGGCACATATCTTACAATCCTGAATTTTTTCCGGGGATGTGTCTAAGACTCAAGGAATCGCACACCGTTGTTATCATATTCGCAACCGGAAAATGCATTATAACTGGAGCACAATCAGAAGAAGAAATTTACTCAACTCAAAACAAGATTTACAATTCGATATCGATGTTTTTGAAAAAATAAATTAAAAAATACTTTTATTAATTTCGGTTCGTAATTCCATCAATAGTTCACCAAGTTTGTTCTCGCCCTCCCAAATACTTGGATCATTCAGACACGGGCTTTTATGGCTCAATCCATTACTCCAATGTAGATTTGATGTAGAGGCGTGTGTAATGAGTCCGTCTCCAGTTCCACGTAACTGATTGAAGAGTTGTACATTCTGAGTAAATTTGGCCCATAAGCCTGTATACATTACCTAGGATTGTTATTTAATGCCTTGCATAAAATTAATCCTTGCCTTATCTTTAACTGTATCCCATTCATTTCTATTATAATTTTTTACACGCGTTCCAATTCGTCTTATAGCAAATGGATTAGTGAGCATAAGCACTTCAGCAGCAAGTTCCAAATCCACAAAAAATCTAGCCTTTTGCCAGATGAAATACTGTTCAATGGAAGTGAATGTACGCCCAAGCAAAGTAAATGTTGTTTTAAATCGGTTGTCAAATCCACATCTGGGGGAATTGAAAATAAATATATTTTGATTTTGTGTCCCAATAATTTCTTCAGGGGGCAAAGAATTTTGTTCATGTTTTAAATTAAGGCGCTCCAGCATAAGTGAAGTTGTTTCTTAAATTATTTATTTAAAAATTTTCGATTAAAATTTTTACCAATATTCACGTCACTGATCATATTGATTTCTGAAAACTTAAAATATGCATTAATAATTAAAAGAGATAATTGTATTAAACAGTTTTATTTAAAAAATTTTCTAAAAAATTTTATTCTTGAACAATATAATTTAAATTAATTTCCAATTTGTCCCTCTATTTCAACATAGTCCAAACACTCGATCGGGTAAAAGTATTCATGCTTTCCACCACCTGCAACACACACAAGCGGTAGATGAGGATAAACAAGATTAATGTAGTGTCGAACATAATAAAATTGTCTAAAAATATAATATAATAGAATAAAGAAAATACCGAATGGTTATGGATAAATATCCTTGAAGAGCAAATGTTCGATCAGCCCCCATATTTGTAAAATTTTTAGGATACACTTCAACAAAACGGTTTTTAAGATGGTTTGTTACTAAAAATCTCTTTCCAGGAATCATACTGCTTTCGTTGAATTCCTTCTGTCCAATTCGTGATTTCATGACATCTTCACTAGAAATGCTTGTAAGTGTTTTAATAAATTGTAAATTTTCGTTGTAATTATTTCTTATTTCACAATTAAGCATTTCTGGTACACATCCTCCATTGAACTCGCAGAGTAGGTTGATAAGTGGTGTAGTCTTTACGCTGTTAGAATTTATTGATAATTTTTCTAACATCCTTGAAGCGAGTTCTTAATGTTTCAATATAAAATATAAATCAAAAACAAATTACCTAAATTATTAGCCATTTTGATAAATAATCAACTATGTAATTACGTAAGCAATAAGTAAGCAAATCTGAAAGTAGATTTTAAATGCAAAATGAAAAAATATTTTTTGTATTAAACATTGATTTTAAAAATATATAATTAAAATTTATTCAAAATATTTTATTCGGTTGGATCAATAAGCGGTTCGCCTCTGTATCCGTAAGGATAACAATCAAAGGTAGCATCAACTATTCCTTTATCGTAGATTGGCGCATATCGTCTAAATTTTTAACTTGATAATATTTATAAATATATGATACCTAGTTTGTGATCTGCTTGTAACCTCCCCTCTACGCCAGCTCGGCTGAAAATGGGTTCTTTCCAAAATGACAGATTCTTGTTCCTCACCATAGGCTTCGACCATTTTCTAATTTATTCTTCAAATTTAGAAACGTTTGGAAAATAACCTTGAATTGTTCAAAGTCAAGTGGAGAGTCAACCTTGTCCCAGCACCCACGGCATTTAACAATAAATTTAACATCTCCACTATTTTTGTGCTTCATTTTCATGGCATACTAAAAATTTTTGTTTGATCAAAAATACTTGCGTACCTGCTTGCACCCTCCAGTATAGAATGCAATAATGTTCCATTCACCATACTCGCGATCCATCATACCAAGCATCTCACCCACACGAAAAGGGGGAGTTTGTCCACGTGGATGCAAATAAAAGCAGCTATCCGTGTCAGTGTACAAAAGTTTACATCCATTTTCTTTTACTATTTTTTCCATATAGTCGTATAGCATTATTCTTGCTGTTGCAGTTGTAATCAATGCTATTGCAATATTATATTTGTCATGTGGGCGTACAAATTCTCGTCGATGCCGATATGGAACGGAAAAAAGATTAGGAGCCAACATTTCCACAGCTCCGAGCTCAAGCTTTGGATCATTGAGAACGCTATGAAGTTCGACGGGGGAGCTCGTAATACAATCCTAAAAATTTTGAATGACAGATTTCTAAGAAAAATACCTGAGACAAGTTACACCGCAGCGCCCATCGCCCCCACCTAAATTGAAAAACGATAACAATATTTAAATTATTCTCACATTGAATTGTTGCATGTCTTTGCAAGGTAACGCATTCCTTCGTTTCTTTCAATTCGTGTTGGATCTAAATGTATGCCATATTCACTCTGATTTCGTTCAATAAAATCTTTTTTCCTTTGTTCCTCGAGTTCAGGATTTCCAGGGACACATACACTACTTGGCCATCCACTCGCCTGTATTGTCTTTATTAGGCCATAAAATAATAGTTACTTCAATTTTTAGCCGCATCATATCCTGAACATAGGGCCTCAGCAAGGTGTCTGACCACTCTTCCCAATGATAAATGCTGTAAACTTTAGTAACGCGATATCCTTTCCTCAAAGCAAGTTCAAGTTCTACTGAGCAAGTAGTACTCACAAATCCACGTTGTTCATCCGTGTGTGGACACCCTTTGTGACCAATTTCTTTGTTATATTTACTGTTTGCCCGTATTGCCACACCTGGAGATATTTCCACTGAACAGCGATGACAAAGATGAAATATCTGTTTATTATGATATAAAATTTTAGAAAATTTTTACCAATTTTCCGTGAATGCGTTCTGGAATAACTGGAAGATATAAGTCATCTGGAGGAATTATGAAAAGTTTGAACAGCCCTCTATATGGATGTAAATCTTCAGGCGTAGTCCAATTCACATCCTTATTTAATTCCAAAATATTCGGATGGCCTAATAAATTTACTAATGTATTTAGATAGTTAAAATTTACCAATAGGATAAAATGCATAAAAATTTACTGCAGGATAAAGGCTTACAACATCAAAACAAGAAATCTCATAATCATTCTCGAAGTTTCCTTCTAAATCACATTTTAGAGCTAAAGGGCCAGTTCTTCCCCCCTTAATTTAAAATCGAATGCAAAATTTCAACTAATTCATACGTGAAAAGCATCTCTAGGATACAGCGGGCCAATATCTGGCAAGGTATCAAAAAACAGAGACATTTCTGGATCCTCTTCAAGTTGTTTCATAACTTCACATTCCCATACGGCAGTAGTCCAAATTCCCTCTTCTTCCAATAATCGAACACGTTCATAAAGTTTATCTTTATTATATAGTGCCGTCTTTCCATTTAAACAAACTTCATGCGGGCGATATAAACTAAAAGCTAACAATTTGGAATATAAATCTAATTACCATTCATGTCCGTGCCATGCACATCCAAGAAATTCAATTGCTTGGTCTACTCCTCCAATGTTTTTAATATACCCATCGAGACGCAAAATACTTCCATCCGAAACTTTGATTCTTTTTTCTCCTTCTGGACTTTCTTGATGTTGAACTTGAAGACCTGTTTTGTGTGCAAGCCAGCGTAGAAATTTTAAAGCAATTGCTGATTGATTCGAATCCCGATGATAGCCATTGTCGGGAATTATGCCCATTTGATTTTCTTTCAAATAGTTTATACCTTAAAATTTTTTATTACCTTGTATGTTTTAAGAGCTTACAAAAATGACGAATACACGCGCTGGCAAGTGTCATAGAATTTACAAGTACGTCGTCGCGCTTGGAAGGTTCAGTAGCTAGTTCAAAGAAAAGGCGCTGAAGTTTTACAAGTCCATGAGCAAGAATACGCACATCTTGTTCGCAGTATTCGACTATTTGCTCACGAAGACAAAATGGTTCGTTCTTATTACTGTATTACCATTCTTCAAACATTTTTCTCCTTTCTTTTCCCATTGAATCTGGGTAATAATAATGTTGTTCAGGTAATCCATCAAGCCGAACATTCATATTCTTATTAAAATTCCACCCGTGAGGGAAAAATGACTTGCCACCTTCGTCAATTTCAAGAGCTAGGGCTTTGGGGAGCTGTTCCAGCTTAAGCATCGTCCAATTGAACGAGTCACGAAATGAAATATAAGGAAATCGTCTTCTTTGTCTTTTAATCAGAACCTCGTAAAGTTTGTTCCCGGTTCTCGTAATTTTTGGCTCAATTCCAAAATGTTTAATCAATTCGCCTAATAGTAGATGCATATCATATCGACTAAATTGGTTGTTTGGAATAATAAAGCCAATGTAATTAAACAAACCCTCCATAATGAGAGATAGCATATGTTTTTCCTGATCGCTCATTCCCCAATCCGTTAATCAACCATTCCAAAAATTCGCGCAAGGGATTTAAAAAATCTGCGGATGTCCAAGTTCGCATTCTAGGCATGTTAATGCCGCAAGTTTTGCAATTATCCGTTGTGTCTTTTTTCCAATTATCCTTGCTTATGCATAGAGCACACATTATCAATGCCTTATTTTGAAATAGTTTTAGAACTTATGGAAAAATTACTGAAACGCAATTAACATGATGTAGTTGATAATTTTCATCATCTATCACCCCTTTCTGTGGCAATAGTCTGGCACTTTGAAGATCATCCCATTCATTTTTGTTTTTTACCGGTGATATTAGTTCGCATTCAAAATCAAATACTACCTAAATAACAGTTTTTTCCAAAATAGAATATAAATACCAATATGTAGTTTTGTTTATTTTTCGGGATTATTGGTTGCACATAGCAATTTTCATCACGTTTGTGGTATGAATGACAGAGAGAACAAAAATGAACGTAACAAACATGTCCATCGCCTTTGGTAGAACTGCTTGAAGATTCATTTCCTGATTCTTGAGAATTAAATTCATTCACTCGCTTTTTTACACTAAAGATTTTCCCGCATTTCTCACACCTATAACAAATTTTGTCATCGAAAATTTTTAATAATACCTTTTAAAGATTGCACAGATTCCCTTGTCCATATGCCTCTGGAAACACTCAGGATTTTTAAATATATTCGCACATTGTGAACATTTTTTTGAAAATCCATTAATTTCTAAGCATGGGAAACCAAATCCCATCCCACAACAGCGCGGACATTTGGCAACACATGTCTGTCGATGCACTTTTTTGTCGTGAAACGGTGCCTCACAATCAAGACAATAATAAGAACCAAAAAGCGCATTCACGTTTCTAATCCCATAATAATGTCCTTCTTTCAAAAATAAAGCAATCTCGTGTTCAGCTCTTTTTTGTCCTTTCCATATAGGCCGCATCCTTCCGTGATCTCCGAATACTGAAATTCTATATTTGCTGGGGAAAAGGATGTCTAATAATTGTTGAATCATTGGAACATGTTCTTCAACTGTATATTCTTTTGCATTGCTGGGGTAACGGATTCTGTTCTTTAACATTTGTTGAATCATTTCCTTAATCAAAACTTCGCGCTTGATTTTCGAATTTTTGGTTTGACCGTTTACTAGCCGGTGGAATTTAACTTTGTCATATGCGGAATTAGTCATGTTCACGTGTTGAATTTTAAGCTGTACAGCAAGTATGAGACAGTGAACATTGGCAGGTGGAGTGAGATTTTCGTTGTTTACCTTGGGATTTTAATTCATATTAAATCGCTTTTAATTCTATTCTAACTCACAGGTATTAGATTGTTTAAATCAACACCCTGATCAATTTCACGCCTATTTCGACCAGTTCCTCCTTTCTCCCTAATTAATTCCGCTGCCTCTTCGTGTGAAGGCCCCATAACAATCTAGGTAAAATATTTAAATATAAAACATGTTAAATATACTTCAATATGTATTGGTTGACTGTAGAGAGAAGGTCTTCCCATGCGTTTTCCGCTTTGATCAACGGCATCAAATTGCTCCATGACAACTTGAGGAGTATTCTGGGCAAGTCCTCTATATGGTATTTGTATAGGTTTTTCAAGAACAGCACTTCTTATTATGATTGAACAATTTTCAGATTTAGTGCCTGAAGCTTTGTCGGCTTTTGCAATAAAATGGTCGACCAAATCTTCTAATAGTTTATCGCTGCCCTCCGGGGCATCATCAACATTCCTCACTGTGAATACGGTTCTAAAATTTTAAATACAATGAATAAAATCTTTTAATAGACCTGAAAACTCCTATTTTGAATCTCGAGCTTTTTAGGTTTTCGGATACGTCTTCATTATAAAAGTGATCAATGGAATACTCTCCAAAATTTCTTTGGCTCATCTAAAATTCTAAAAATTTTTAGTGATTATTTGTAAAATATTTTTGCGATAATGACGCAACAAATTATTTCAAACAATATTAATTTTTACTTTATCCATTAGAAAATAAGAATTTTTTAACAACTATCGCTTCAGCTTGAATATCCTTTACCATTCTTCTTCTTCTGGTATTTTGTCCGTGGAAGAAAAATAATTCACAGAATCAGGAACAAAACTTTCAGCATTGTTTTGTATTGTACTTGTCGATGTGCCTTCACCTCCTAAGTCCGTTGTCTCAATATTAAGTTGAGATTCCAAACGTTTAGTTATGTCGTTCATAATTATAACAGGAGAGTTTTCTGAAAATATGAGTACTTTTAGAGCTAAAAAGCATTAAATACCTCTCTTCTTTTTTGAAGGTATATAGCGACTGTAGCAGCAAACGTCAATTGCCGATTGCAGATCAATTTGCCCCCAATATTTGCTATTCGTATGCCCTAGCGCATAGTACAATTCATTTTTTACGACGTCAACAATGGCCTTTAATAAAATTTTTTAAAATTTTTTCAATAAGAACCTGTCTTCCCATTGCGTGTCTTTCCTTCAAAAAATGCTCATGGATTCTACTTAATGAAATTTGCGGATATCTATTCCGATGATGTTGAATAAATGCGGCGTAAAGATCCGACTTAAGCTGTTTTTCATCATACTCCGCATCGAAAAGTTGCTCAAGTTGTTTAGCAAGACGTCTTCGTTTCTCCTTGAGTTCTTCAAGCGCAATATCTGCTACATGTTGATCCATCTGAAATGTATTGTATAATTTAAAAAAATAAACGAAACCTTTTATTTCACAAAACGGTTTGTACAAAAAGATTTGTAGCTATAAAGAATTCCAAAAATGAATTAGTAAATTAAAAGATAAAATTCGATCAAACGGATCAAAAATAAAATTTCCATTAAAAAATAGTCTTTATTCAACAAAAGTTATAGTTATCAATATTCATTTTTTCTTATTAAAATTGCTAAACATATCAAAAGTTTTCTGTTGGTAGTGCTTATTGATGTCCTTACAGGCCTCGCAAATCTATAAAATTATAATTAATTTTAAAAATTTTTTGAACATCTACCATGAAACTCAGCTCATATTTTTCCCCACATTTTTGCAAGAACATATCACTTGCCAAGGACCTCTGAAGACCGATACATTTATCGCACTAAAGTTTTAAAATGAATCGTAGTTAATATGAAATTTTTACCTGATGCAAGATCCAACAATATTTCAATAAGCTCAATAGTTTATAATCAGTTCCTGAAGCAATATTTTCACCCTTTTGAAAGTATAACACCCCAGCAGCTTAAAATTTTTTCAATAATTTCAATTTTTGTAATTTTCTTACATTTTTCAAAGCTGGACGATTGTTCCTCAGCCGTCACATTCATTTCCTTGTCACCTTTTAAAAATTTTTAGATTATTTTATAATTATGTAATACCCCAAGAGAGAGCATAACATGTCCCTAGGTTTATATTTTTGTCGAGGTCCTCTGCGCACAATTCGAATGTAAGCGTTAAATTTATCGGACTTCCTGCCTTGTAAAGAAATTTTTGTCGTTTCTTCTGGTTTTCTCGGCAATCGTTGCACTGGTGAATGAAAATTCCTTGACGCGGTTCTTTAAGCACTTGTGCACGCTTGAGTAATCCTTCAGGAACTAATTGTTCGGCGCGTTGTTTACCTAGAAAATATTTAAATAAAAAAATAACAAACTTACGTTCGATTCGCCTTCGCTTGTATTCCTCTTCATCTTCGCCCAAAGAAATAACATCATTAGGATCTGGATCATCAGACTCGTCCTCTTCCTCATCATAATCCATCATTGCATCAAGAATATCCTTAGTCACTTCTTCCTTTGAATGTTTTACATTTTGACTTTTTGATCGTTTTATAATTGACTAAAAATTTCTAATTTAAATTATTATCAAAACTATACAACCTTAATAACCGCGTCAACGTTGTTTTGTGGAACATTTTCACTTACTTTATTTGACTTGCTTTGTGCCTTCTTTGCGGTCGGGGCTTTGCTCGAAGTGGAAACCGAACTCAAAGTTGAGCTCGATTTTTCAATTGAGCGTCTGCGTCGCGCCTCTGCCGCTTGCTTCTTCTTTTTTTGTTCCAGAATAAAAGCACGCACTTCTTGAATTTCCTCTGCTGTTATCGACACTGAAGTTGTTTTTTTAATCAAAACTATTTAATATTTACCTTCTAATCCCGAACTTTCTTGTGAAGTTCGCAAGTCCTTTTCTTCGCATACATTATCCACAATCATCTCTGTATTAGTGCTTTCATCAATCATAATAGGAGCATCCGCAGTGCCTGTAAATGATAATCCATGTTATTAGTTTAAATAATAATCATGTTTATCATTTACCATTATCGTTTGGAGCATCAACGCTTTTTTCCATCAGAATTTCGTTTTCTTTAAATAAAATTAAAGCTAAAATTGATTAAATTAGGAAAGTTAAACTATTTTTAAATATAATAAATAAAAATGGAATTTATAGTTAAATCAAACATTTGCAAAAATTTACTTTAAAACTAACTTTAATTACAAAATATTAGAAAATTTAGAAAATCTAAAATTTGTTTTTGTTACATTTTTTCTAATTTTCATAAATAAATTAAAATTTTATAAATAAAAATTTTTACTATATCTCAAACTAAATCTCAAAATCTACATTTGAAAATCTAAGCTAAATCTCAAACAATGAAAAATGGAAAATCAATAACTGATAAACAAAGATAAAAATATCATTAAATTAAAGAGGGTGAGGGTATAGAAGGGAAGGGTATGAGGATATTATAAAATAAAGAGGGAGAGGTATAGAAGCAGTGAGTAATTAATTTAGAGGGGGAAAGTAAGAGGGTTATTAAATTAATGGTGGGGAACTATAAAGGATGTGAGTATAAGTATTTAAAGAGGGGAAGGTATGGGGATATTTTTAAATGTTGAATGGAAATGCTGAATGATTCCTTAGGTGATTTTGGGGTTCCTTTTATACGGGTTCGCTATGACATATTTTGGCCTCCGAATGATTAATTACATGCTATGTTTCACAATTTTTTGGTTTATTTATTTATTTTGTTACTAAATTAAGCACACTTTTTGCAATTAATCACAATTTTGGCAGCTGACACTCCTTAGTTTAAACAATTTTTATTTTTTATGAACATATTTCAAAACATTTTTGCAAGGGCCCATCAATCACTCAAAGTAGATGCTCGATTAAAATATAAACATTTCAGAAATAGTCAAAAAAGTTCCTATATAAATACCCCCACCTTCCCAACTCTCATCAATTATTAATCTTATAGACATATTTCTGCACTAAGGCTTTGTTTTATTATGTTTATTATTAGTTGAGAATTATTATGTTTTTGGTATTATTTTTGGCTTGCGGACAGACTGATTTTTAGTCCCGAGCAGGGTTTCGAATAATCAATGACTTCTTCGGGAAGGGTTTCAGTGCGGGGTTTAAAAACGTTTCCGAAAATGGTTTACGTTCAAATCTGTAACTGGATTTAAAAGATTAAGATAGAAATCAAGTTTCGTGTTTTTGAAAATTTCTCGGGTCGAGTTTCGAGTTGAAAAGTCTGGATATAAGGTATCGGTCTAGGTCGGAAAATTTAAATTTACTTTCTTAAACTTTTTTATAAAATTTTTACAATGCTTTACTTTAACAATAAATTAAACAAAGCTGCTTACACAGCCATCCATCTGAATCATTTACTGCATGCCAAATTGGTCTTCTTGGTTCTTGACCAAAATTTTGGTCATTTGGCCATGCAACAACGTTTAAAACAGGTTTGTGTAATCTACCAGCAATAATAATCTCGGTCAATCTAATGAATCCGATGAACGGTCAGAATCCACATAAAGGGTCAGAATCCACAATGATTTTGAAATATCTTTAAAATAAAAATATTTAAAAAACCTCTAGACGGTATCAAAAGTATACGATTATGAAACAATAACAATATTGCTCATTTAGGAAATAAAAATCCATCTCGTTGAAACCAATAAAATTATTTTTGTCTTTCGGTTTTAAAAAGCGCCAGAGGAAAGAATAATGTGCAGGATTCCTCAATTTCTTTTAATTTAAAAAGAAAAATTTTAAGATTAAAAAATACTAAAGCTCAATAAAGCAAGTCTGATGTGCTCAATACCAGGTCTTAGTAACCGCTATCCTTACATTCGTGCATTACAAAGAATAAAAATATGCGCCCCCCTCGTTATCGACACCAAAAATTATCTATTAAAATACCATGTCATAAAGAAACGGACAATTCTTCTTCCAGATTTTATTCTTCATTGATTATACATTCGTCCTTTCCCTCATCTGCCTCTGCCTCAGTTGTATTTGATGATGTGACCATTTACTTAATCTCATAAATTAGTCTAAAATTAAAAGCGCGAAAATAAGAACAATCTTATGGGATCTAATGTCCCTCTTCTCTTTTTATCGCAAAAGTGAAAATGTTATACAAAAAATCATCAAAAAATCACAGAAAATATACTCATTCCGTTTTCATTCCTTCAAATTTTATGGTTGCTGAACAGGCTGTGAATGTTGGCAAATTAATTTTAAGATTCAAAAACTTTTCTCTTAAAATTAAACGTGTAAGCGGTGCCTAACAATGATATAAAAATGCCATTGTATTAAAAGAGGATCTTCAATATAACGAGCATTGTCACTTGATGCTAAAGCTTAACGAAATTCAGCTTGTTGTAAACATTCAAGCAAATATAAACATTGAAGTATTTGAAAGTTCTTAAAATAAAAGATATGAGCTTTGAAAAAGGGAATTTAGCAGATTTTTTTCAAAATTTTTAGGAACTTTCCTAGTGTAACTTAATCAATTTTTGCTCATTCGATCTTACAATTTGTATTCAATTCTTTTACCTAATACCTATTCATCTGCCCGATTAGAATTATTTTGTGGATTAATTGTCAAGGAAAAAAAGAGAAATAACAGAGAAATTTTCAAAAATCCGTCAGGGGCTTAATAGCCCCAAAAAAGATCAAATAACTCTAACGCATAAATCAAAAAATTTTCCTCTCAAAAAAGAGTTTCCAAATTTAACCAACAAAAATAAAAAACCTCGCATATATGGCCATTTAAAATAAAGAAGGTATTTAAGATAGTTCACAAAGTAATCCGCTTTGAAATAACCTTTTTGAGCCAAATCTGAATGATTAAAATCTATAAACGTTTTTTTAAATAAATATTAAATTTTACAAAATTATTGTTAGTCAAAACAAAAATTGTTAGCGTTTGTGGCATTCGAACCCTGCAACGTATTGGAGAAATCTAGAAAATTATCCCAATAAACCAAAACTAAAAAATTTTCAATTTTATCAAAAAACAAAACATTTTAGACAAGACAAAATTTTTTAGACCCATAGGTTTGAACACAATTTTCATGAGAATTAAATAGAAAATTATCCCACTACACCAAAGAATTCAGATCCTTAAAAAACTAACAATTTAAGTAAGCGGGATTCGCCAATGCTTAAACAAATTCACATCTGCATTGCTAAAAATAAATTTTAAAGATTAAATAAATAATAATAAATTGAAAATATAAATTTTAAAACTAAATTTTAAAATAATATTTAAAAATATAATATTGAAAAAATAATTTTTAAAAATTAAATCTTACAAATTAAAAAACAAATACAATTCACATAAATATATTAAATCGCGAAATAAAATTAATATTTATAAGAAATAAAATAAAAATTGAAAAATTGTTAGCGACTGAAAATTTTCTATTTATATCACAATTTTTAATTTATAAATTTTAGATGCTATTTAATTTTTCTAACTTTTTAACATTTGATGTTAGAAAAATAAAAATAAATAAATGCTATTCTCTCTATTATGTGTTCTGTTTTTCGCTCTTGCTCTCTTAATGACATTTTTATAAATTTGAGGAAATTATACTCAAAATGGTCAACGACACTACGGCAGCGACAAAATAGTACACGACAAAAGGTCACATGACTTAATGGTATGCGACAAAAGGGTATACGACAAAAGGACATACGACAAAAGGGTATACGACAAAAGGACATACGACAAAAGGGTATACGACAAAAGGGTATACGACAAAAGTGTTACGACAAATGGGTATTCGACAAAATGGTACATGCCAGAATTTGTTGATAAAATTGTGTTATTTCAAAGTAAACAGTCGATACGAATTTTTGCCTTAAATTCTTGTTCAAATTTGCGTCTACATTTCAAACTACCGTTTATTCATATTTCCATGCATTTAATACTATTTCTTATCTTAAAACATTGTAAACCTTTTGAATTTTAATTTTTTCATCTAAATCGTTTTTTCTACATGCCAAATCCCTTGTAATCGGAGTAACAAAGCTAACCTTGTACTTAGGACGTAGATTAATACCTATTCCTTTTTAAAGAGTTTAACAATTATTAAACATTTTTATTTTTAAATTTTTGCTCTTATTTGTACCGTTTTTTTATATTAGTTTTTCCGTAAAAATATTTTATACTATATATTTATTTAATTGCTTTTCTTTAACAATTATGTAAACTTAGTGCTCTTTTAATACATATATTAAAAATTAATCGATCCTCTAATTACGTCCGTACTGATGTGTAAATGTGCCCGCCCGTCCGATCTGGCAAGTTACGCAACGATGGTTTAATTTTTAAAACCACTCTAAACCTATTGAAAAGATTGTAAAGAATTTTTGTGTCGTCGAAAATTTTTGACAGAATAATACATGGAAAAGGTTTGAATTAATACACATTTTCCCATTGTCTTAAAATATATTTTGTAGAAATGAATAGTAGACAAATATATCAAAAATGAAATTTATGATATATTTGTCTACATAGTAGACAAATATATCAAAAATGAAATTTATGATATATTTGTCTACTATATACTACTGTAGTACCTCTGTTGGAGGTGATGAACATGCCAATAAAAAAGGTTTTTTAGAAATATACTATTAGAAATTTTTCAAATATTTATAGCCTTGTATTTGACAAAAATTTTTTAATAAGTTCAATGAATTTCCGAAGATTTGTAAACGTGATAACAAATTAAGAGCCTTTTAGGCCCCTGAACATTTAAACTAGTCGATCTTATAACTGATTTTTGTTTGACATTATGTTTTGTACCCGCAATATGTTAGTTATAGTAGATCTTTTAGAAAATTAAAAATCAAATAAAATAATAAATTAAAAATTTTCTAAGTCTGAAAAAAAATAAATTTTAAAAAATTTAAGGAAAATTTGTTAAAACTCCAAGTTTTGGTATTGGTGACGATAATTTTTCTGATGAAGATAATGCTGGTAGGTTACCTATATTTAATAGAATTTTTACTGTTTTAACATACTAACCCAAAAAAATTATTTAATTTCCCATATTAATTAAATCTTTATTAAATTAAGATGAACATGAATGAGATACAAAAAACATTCTTTGAACAAGTAAAAAGAAAAAAAACATGATGACTGCGCTAGGCATTTAGAACAACTTTAACAGTAAAGAACAAAGTAAACAGATTCTAAAAAACAAAATTTTGATTTTTAAATTAAACCTCCCCCTAGTGATGGTCGGGATTCCCGGTCTCGGTTCCCGAATCGGGAAATTTCCCGGGTTTTTTGAGCTCTCGGACCCGGGACTCGGTCTCGACTCTCGGGTTTTTTTAACTCCCGACCATCACTACTCCCCTCCCCCTATATTTAAAAAAAAGTTCAATTATTTGAACATCCTTTCCTGTTATTGTTATTTTCTTATAACTGAAATCTTTTTTATTATTTTTAGTAAATTATTTTCTTGTGATAAATTCAAAGTTTTATTAAATAATTTAGTTTTTCTAGTTATAATTCTAGCTATATTTTGTATTGTTTTACTCATAAAGCTAAAAGAAAGTTAGCATTAAAAATCCTTATTCTTTTTGTTTAATCCAAAACCAAGATCCGTTAATTTATATTAAATAGTAAAATAGCGGGAGAGCAGAAGATGATACTTTTTTGTCTCATTCACCATTTACCATTTAAATGTCGAAGCCGAAATTTTTTACATGAACAGGCCTAACAGTTTTACGAAGTTAAATACTAAATCTCTTCAAACATAGCACAAGAATGTCTTAAATGAAGACTCGCAAATCGGGGTTGAGCGTCATGGCTTTTTGCGTTTGGCATGTTTTAAAAATTTGAAAAAATTGGAGTTTAGTGTTTGGTGTTCCAGGCGAAAATTTTGGTGCATAGTTCTGTCGCGAATGTTTAAACATCTCTAATACGTAAGATAATATATAGGTACCAGGGATCTAGCCGACCCGATTCCCTAAAATCGGGAATCGGGAATAAATTTTGTCGGCTAGACCCTGATAGGTACCACTAAAAGAACGCGAAAGATGTAATTATAATTTGAATAATTATTTAATCTGGTAAAAATAAATATTCAAAAAATCAACGATATTACCAGCCGGCAACATTTTTAAAATTTAAATGATTTATAAAACCCCTTAAAATCCCATTTATTTATTTTCATTTTCTTTAATAATTTAGTATTTAATATAAAAATCACAATTAAAAATTCTTTAAATTAAACAATTTACGTTATCATTTTTTCTAAAGTTAATAAAAAACAGACAATTTTATTATATATTTACGTAAGCAAAAATGAATGACTCAAGAAAAGGAAGTACTTGAAGATATTTGACAATTGTTATTTCATGACCTTTTTATTTTGAAAATATTTTTAAAAAATCCATAGAAAAATTTTTTCATAGAATCTACATAATATTTCCACAGAATACATATTCCCACACTTTAATGAATTAAGCAAAATACCTGGGAGTTAAGTGTAAATGCTTTGGAATTTTTTGTGTGTAGCTCGTTTATCATTGTAAAGCACATAACTATTTGATTCCTAAGGCTGCGCAGTAGGCGGAGTGTTGTAATGGATAACACAACAGTCTGGTCTACTGAAGATGCTGGTCGCTCCCAGCCGCCGATTAACCTTTTGCACTAGCTAAAGGAGAGAAATAGCTATGGCAATTTTCCTTTATCATTAATGAATTGATTCTGAGTTGAAGGATTTTGTGAAGGGGTTGATTAACTATTTTGGATGTGAGAACTATAGATAAGTGCCACAGAGTGTTTAAGAGAACATAGAGAGGTCATTATTATCTATGATCCCTAATATTTATCACTCCTTTTTAATTCATTTTTTTTTAATTATAAAAATTCACCTTTCGTTTATAAAATCTTCAATAAATACAAGACTATACCTTTAATTAATAACCTCTAATAATACTTTTATTTATTTTAACGATCATTTATTAAATTATTCTCATTTTTTGTGTTATACTACATTCCCGTCCCTTTAAGTGTTCATTTTTACTGATCATTGCAAACGCGAGAATTTTCATTCAATAATTTTAAATCATAAAAATATATTAATAAATAGTTTAACATTTTTTTGCATTTATAATCAAGGCAGTAATTTTTATTAAATTTATCATTATTTATTGTGATAGTTTTACTTTAAAAAACCTTCTAGAATATTTTTTATTGTTTTTATAGAAAACCCCAAATAAAAATTCTCGATATTAATATTATTACTACTTATTAGTGTCTGGAAGCGCGTACCAAATTTGTACTCGTACCTGTGTACGAAGTACGCGCAGATTTCAAAATTCCAAACATTGCTAATTACTTAATAATGCAATGAATATTTTGCTAATTTTCCCTCAATCTCCTCTTGATTAATAATCTTGAAAGCACTCATTCTATCCATGTTAGTGACATCTTCTATTTAGGAAGTTACCTGTCCCTTACGATATCAACCCTACTAGAAAGTAAAAATCGAGCAGGAGTGCCAAAGATTAATTTTATAATGGTTTTTGATGAGTTCGATACAAGGTTGGACAAATCTCCTCCCCTCCCTTAGTCCTATACCTTATTTTCTCAGAAGGCTGGACAATCCAGTCCTTACCTTATTTTCTCTTTTAAATTTATTTTTTGAGACCTTATAATAATTTACTTAATTAAAATTTTAAAGTTCAATTTTTTAAAGCATTTTTCTATTCCTACACAAAAAATAATTCTTTCAAAAATTGTGTACTTTTACCCTTAATTCTTAAAAAACATTATTTAGTGCCTCATTTACTTCCTTCATTCATCTAATTTTTTTGTCTAAATTTTTTGTTTAAAAATTTTTTGTTTAGAACATTTGCCCTTTAGTCTAATAAAAGTCCAAACTCATTCAAGATTTACATGAGAAAATCCCGTGTTTAATATCCCCAAACATTTTCTGACAATTGTTTTGATCAATATATTTTAGTTGGGCTAAACAGCTTATTTTAAAAAAGATTTTAAATTTAGCTTTTAAGTTTAAACGATTAAGTTTTCGATGCAGACACGTACATCTCAATCCTTTATATTATTTTTAAAAATGCCTGATTTTGATAAATTTTATAATAAAATTAGTAATCGTTGTAGGATCTAGCAAGAGAAATTTTTAACTTTTCCCGTGCTTATGAATGTAAAATATTTACATTTTTAGCCCGATGTTTTCCTAAACCATACCAAAGACTTCGATCTACCAAACTCGAAACGGCAGTCCGAACGGAAAATTTCTGTTTTTCGTTGGCTTGGTTTGAAAACGACAACCCTAGTGCTAGTTTCAGACAGAGGGTGTCGGAATTCCAATTTCCGACTTCCGAAAATTTAGGCTGATTTCCGATTTCTGACTTTTGAGCAATTTCCGATTTCCGGCATCTTCGTCATTTCCGACTCACCTCTGGTTTCAGATAATAATAAGTTAGATAGGGAAGTAACAGAATCAACTTAATATTTTCATTAATCTACTCAGAAAGCTAGGAAATGGATATAATTTTTGGGGCAAAAATTGTCCTTATAACAGAAAAATAGACACAAGTCTTTTAAATTTTTGGTCTTGAATCCGTCAAAATTTTCGTTAATGAACAGCACTAAAAAATTAAATCTGCCTAAAAATCTTTAATTATCCCTTTTAAATTTATTTTCCAATTATTCTCTTAATAGTTAGATTTTTGCTTAAATCAATTTGGCAATTCTCTCAAAGTTTTCTCGATTTCCCTCCTCCATTTTGTGTTCAATAATTTTCCCAAAAACCTTTTAGTAAAAGGATTTAGCAGATTTTTGATTACCACACACTTTTGTTCATTTTTATTTTTTTAACGATTTTCTTTTGCTTTTAAAGTAGAAAGGGATATTAAATGTAAGTGATTTTCTCGAGCAAGTAATTCTTCTTCCTCCCCCAAATTTTCTCTCCCTTTATTTTTTTAAACAAAATTTTCGTCCAATCCAATAAGAAATAGTTTAATTTTTCGTTTAAGTTGTTTTTGACATTCCGAAAATCTTTTGAAAATCTCGAAAATCCAGTTGTGATCCCGTCCCTTGCCGTATCCCTAATTTCAATTTGAACCCGAAGGGTGTCATGTTAACAAGGAAAGGTTGCGAGGTGTCCGACCTGAAATCGGTCGGCACCGGGCTCATTCGATAGAGAATGTGGCCTTTCTAGCTCCTAGGCTAGATCAAAAAATGGGCAAAAACGGCACAAAATCCTTTCTAGAAAGGCCACATTCTCTATCGGATGAGCCCGGTCTCAACAGGTTTTAGGTCGGAAACCTCGCAACCTTTCCTTGTAAAGAGATTCCATTGTAAATAAACGGAAACACCATTTTCTTAATTTTTTCCTCCCATTTCTTCACCCACCAACTTTTAAAATTTTTTTTGATAAATATAAAAAGCGCGGTTTTTGAGGGATATAAACTTTTAACTAACATTCACATATGTTATTGACTGATCTTCTTTATTTTAAATCATGCACAACTGCTTTTTACTTTAAGTAATATTTGTTAGGAATAAATATTTTTTGGATTTAACTGTTTTAAAACTTTTTAAATTTTAAAAATATTTTCAAATAAATCGGAATCGGAGATAGGACAATTTACCGCTAGCCCTGTATCCTGACACTAATTGAGATGAAACTAACTATTGTGTCCGCACTTGCAGAATGAATATTAATGAAAATAGATAATGATGGCATAGTCGGTTGTGATGGCATAGTCGGTTGTGCTTCGGTTTGAGCTCATTCTATGATGGTTCAATTCCATCTCCCATCCACTGAATCTTTCCACAGCATGCATGAACATCGTATACAAAACTAACATTATAAGAGCGTCCGGGGTTCGTTTAAGTTGAAGAAATATATAGGTAAGTCGAGGGTCCTGTCATGATTGTGGTTCTCTTAGTTAAAAAATTATTATGTTTATGCCATTGGGATTTTTTTAACTGAGAAATGGAAATAGAACCACTCGAAGGAGACCAGATTGAAGCACCAAGTGTGCTACAAACTCGATAATGTGTTTGGAGATTTTTTATATTATTTCTTTATGTACTACAAAATTCAACATTAATCTGCCCAAATCCATATTAAGGCATAGTTATTTCAATAGTATATCTCAGAATTTTTTTTTATTTTTGAAATTTTCCCAGCCAAACATTTCAAGAAATATTTTTAAAATTTTCGAATAATTTAAAACTTTTCTACATAATTTCTAAAGGAAATAAAATTTCTGAAAGTTTGGAGATTTTAGATGACCATTTAAAGGGTATTTTAGGGTATTCCTGAAGAAAATTCATACGAAAATTGCCTAGTTCGAATTTTTTACCTGCACAAATACCCCCCTCAGTTTCCGGTTTTTGCTAAATTTTAGAAACAATGCAAAAATAATTATTTTTATTTATTTTTTGTTATTTATTTAAAGAATTTATGAGATTTATATTTTTAGAAAAAAATTTTTCTAAAAATTATTTTTCAAGTGGAATAAGGGCGTAGAGACTAGACAAACTTTTTGCAGTTTAAATACACTAAAATGCGTGCATTTGAAGATATCCAAATTAAATTTTTAAAAATATTATTAGAATAATATTATCTTCTCTCTTAATCAAAAATAAAATTTCTGAGTGTTTTCCCAATTTTAAAAATTTTAAAGATTTAATTAGTAGAGACTTCCTAGACCGAAAATTATCCTAGACCCAAGACCAAAAATTCATCCCAATACCAAAACCAAGACCCAATACCACCCCAGACCATGCCCAAGACTAAAACTAGACCACAAGACCAAGCCCAAGCCCGAAAAAACCCTCAAGAAAAGTCTTGAGTCAAGACTCAATACCAAGAGTCTTGGAAGTCCCTATTAATTAGCCTTATTTGATACTATCGAAAATCATTAAAAGAAGGATAAATTCAAAAATTATAGGTAGGGTTGTCATTTCTTGACTGAACCGAAGATTTTCGGTTCGGTTCTTCGGCTCGGTTTCGGATATTTACCTAAAGATGATAATTTTAAGTTTAAAAATATTCGATGAAAAATTTTCAGAAAATTTCTTGAGATGTTAAAGAAATTTGAAAAAATTTTTAAGAATATTATAGGCCTCGGTTACTGTCAATTTTTACGCGGAACATCGGCACTCAAACGACCAACCCCAACATTTTCCCTCGCACCAAAAAGTCCCTTAAAATTTAAATATTTTTCACTAAAAAAATTTCAAAGCGATATTTTTTAAAAATTTTAATTTTCTAAAATTTTAGCAGAATGATGACGAGACATTCAATTTATTTTCTGCAATGTTTCCTTTTATGTCTAACTTTTTAGTTGAAATTTTCTGCAAATAATAGTTTCAAGTTTCCTAGCAAAATTGTGGGAATTTATTGTTTAGTAAAATTCAATGGAAAAATAGCTATTGACTGTCCAAACAATTTTTTCTGTTAAAGTAACCTTCAAATTCCGCGCTTATTTTTCCGATAGCGAAATTCAAAAAAATTTTTCCAAAATTCTAAGGGTAGGTCGGAGACAATGCTGTGCGCCAAAATTTTCGCATGTGCGCCAAACGCCAAAAATTAATTCTTGTTAAGACACGCCAAAACGCTATGGCGCACAGCCTTGGTCAGAAGTGACGGAGGTGTATGAGATCGGTAGAGAGCGAGCTGGATCTGGATCCAGACCTTGATTTTTCCTGGATCCAGAGTCCAGATCAAGGTATTTTTCAGAGTTCCTTGATTTTTCCTTGACCTTGATTTTTCCTTGACTCAAGGTCAAGAATCTGGTCAAGGTACCCAACCAAAATCAAGAATCAAGGTCAAGGTCAAGGCAAATTTTTTCCTTGATTTCCTTGATTAATTTTCCCCCCAATATATCAACAAAATGCCATTAAAATCGTGTTTTTTCTCCTTCAGAATGTAATTGGCGAAGCATTTTCTTTCTCTCTATGTATGTTTTCTATTTTATTTTTTATGCAGACCTATTATATTTTCTTGCGGTACACCTCAATTGACGATTGAGTATATATACCTCAGTTAGTCCCCATCAAGGACGTACCCTCCTGGTATTCCCTAGGCTCCCATGGAGGGATAAGGATTAAAGTGATAAAGTGGATGTGGACGATATACGTGAATATCCTAGGATGTGAACGGATATATGTGGATATCCGCAGATGTGGACGGATATACGTGAATATCCTAGGATGTGAACGGATATATGGGGATATCCGCGGATGTGGACGGATATATGGGGATATCCGCGGATGTGGACGGATATATGGGGATATCCGCGGATGTGGACGGATATACGGAGATCCACGGATATCCCCATATATCGTCCACATATCCCTCTTAATCCCCTGATATCCTTCAAATCCCCAAATACACAATATCACTGTTACGCCCTCTAAAGCTCAGATATTCAACTCAGTCCACCGATATCCTTTAATCGTCTAAAATCCTCGGGTATTGTGACTTATACTAGGTTTTTTGTTTTTGGACCGATTAGGTCAAGTGAGGTGTCATTCGAAAAAGCTTCGAAAACTGAATCGAACTAGGGGTGGGAGAAGTCGATCCGACAATCAGGGACCGAGATACAGACCCCTGAAGTTTGAAAAAGAGAAGGGGGGAGTAAGCTCATTTTGGGGTGAAAAATTCGAAAATGCAAATAATAGCTCATTCGACTCAGCTCATCGAGCTGAGTCGAATGACACCAAAATCAGCTCGATACCTTGATTCTGAGCCAAAATAAACAGGTTCAAAATGGTCAACGTAAACCTATGGAGCGTCGGCGAGGCGCTTGTGCGAAACCCCGCGCTTCGCGCGGGGTTTCGCGGCACGCGCCTCGCGGGGAGTCAACGGTCGCTGGGTCTGGGTCAGTAACATAAACCTATTCCTATCTCCCTTGTTCTGGACGTACTTGGGGTCTCCGTAGCATCAAAAACTTCCTCATAGACCATAGGTAAGGAGCTAAAACAAACGATCATAACTTTTTCCAATCAAGTCGGATTTCGGTGATTTTGGTGTCATTCGATTCAGCTCAACGAGCTGAGTCGAATGAGCTATTATTTGCATTTTCGAATTTTTCACCCCAAAATGAGCTTACTCCCCCCTTCTCTTTTTCAAACTTCAGGGGTCTGTATCTCGGTCCCTGATTGTCGGATCGACTTCTCCCACCCCTAGTTCGATTCAGTTTTCGAAGCTCTTTCGAATGACACCTCACTTGACCTAATCGGTCCAAAAACAAAAAACCTAGTATAAGTCACAACATTCAAATCCTCTTATATTCCTCGATATCCGGTCAAATCTGCTTCCATATCCACTTAATCCCACAATATCTCTATATCCTATAATATCCACCTTTAAATACCAGCATATCCCACTTAATCTCCTGATATACGTCCAAATAAAAAAAATCAAGAATCAAGGCCTGGATCCAGGCAAAAATAATCCTTGATTTTTCCTTGACCTTGATTTTTCCTTGACTCAAGGTCAAGAATCTGGTCAAGGTACCCAACTGAAATCAAGGTCAAGGATCAAGGTCAAGGTTTTTTGAAAATCTCGCTCTCTAGAGATCGGAAACGGCTCAAAAGTCAGGATTCTGAATTCTGACTGATCTCAGTTATGTGTCTCTATTTAAGTCTAGGTATATTCGTTGTCATCCTAATTTAAAATTTTTTTCTTTCCAAAAAATCTTCGCGTGGCGCGCCAAACGCCAAAAATCAATTCTTGTTAAAACACGCCAAAACGCCATGGCGCAATTTTTTTTCTTTCCAAAAATTAATTTTTTCTTAAATTTTTTTTATTTTTTCAGTTTATTCCAAATATATTTTTAATTAATTTTCCTATTAGAAAACAACAAAGACATCTTTAATTTACTTGGTTTTATTTAAAATCAGCTAGCGAATGGAGAACGCTCATGCTAAGACTTCGGAAGAATTGTTTCAATTTTTTGGCACTGGACCTGATGGACTTTCTGAAAATCAAGTGGAGGAGTTGAGGGATAAATATGGATATAATGGTTTGTTTTTTTTGTTTTGGGGTTTGGATTTTTTGAGTTTTCTTAGCTTGAATTTTTAAATTTGGATTAGGGGTGAATGCAATTAAAAAAATTTCGTAGCTTTAAGCAGCAAGTCAAAAAATCACGCAATCCGCAATCGCGTCCACCTCTGTTGTGGACCCTTTTTTCTATTCTTTTTTGGTACTTAAATTAATTAAAGGCTTGAACTTTGATTAATAAATTTAGAGGTCAAGAAACTTTGTTAGTCAAACTCTAGATCGATCATTTATATAAGACAAGAGAAAATAAGGAAGAAGGGAAGACCCATAAAATTCAAAATTCCTTGTAAGCCGGTCGGGTAAAGGTGAAGAATACGTACCACTCACAAATATGGACAAATTATATGTCATTTGAAAGAGCTCGGCGAGAGGAGTCGAATGACATCAAAATCAACTGGCGGTCTCAACTTTGAGCTGAGATATAGGCCCCTGAAAATCGAAAAACCATAGGGGGGAGTAAGCTCAATTTTGGAGTGAAAATTTCGAATATGCAAATAATAGCTCATTCGAAAGAGCTCGTCGAGCTGAGTCGAATGACACTAAAATCAACGAAATCCGACTTGATTGGACAAAGTTATAATCTTTTCTTTTAGCTCCTTACCTATGTCATCTGTGGAGATTTTTGCTGCCACGGAGGCCCCAAATACGTCCAGAGCAAGGGAGATAGGAATAGGTTTATGTTACGAGCCCAGACCCAGCGCCCGTAGACTCCCCGCGAGGCGCGTGCCGCAAAACCCCGCGCGAAGCGCGGGGTTTTGCACAAGCGCCTCGCCGACGCCCAATAGGTTTATGTTGACCATTTTGAGCTTGTTTATCTCGTCTCAAAATTAAGATTTCGAGCTGATTTTGGCGTCATTCGACTCAGCTCGAGGAGCTCTTTCAAATGAGCTATCATTTGTATAATATCATTTTTACAAGTATTTGATAGATATTTTTGACCGTTTTGAACCCCTGTATCTCAGCTCAGAGTTGAGACCGCCAGTTGATTTTGGTGTCATTCAACTCCTCTCGACGAGCTCTTTCAAATGACATATAATTTGCCTATATTTATGAGTGGTACGTATTCTTCACCTTTTCCGCCGGTCGAAATATCGAACTTTTTTTGACTTTATTTATTTTAACTTTTATCTTTATCTTGCAAAATATAGTGGTTATGTAGGGGTTGAATGCTGTCTTAAATTCACAATCAGCAGTTTTAAAAGGTCCGATTCTAGACTTCGTTTCGAAAGAATACCATTCCCTTTCGTTTTGGTTGTCGGTTCTGGACTGAACTGAAGAATTAAGGATTTTTCGGTTCGGTTTTTGATATCTGAAGAATTTCCGGGAATCAACAACTCTACCTTCTGTGACCCCCTCCCCCCCTCTCCCATCAGTTTTCCAAAATATTTTTTTGAGTTCAAGTTAAGTTGCCAATTCCTTTTTAAGCTCTATATTTTTTATCTCTAAAAAGTTTCTTTTCAGAAATGCCAGCAGAGGAGGGAAAAAAGCTCTGGGAGCTAATTCTTGAACAATTTGATGATCTCCTTGTTAAAATTCTTTTACTCGCCGCAATAATTTCATTTGTATTTTTTGTAATTTTTAAAAAGAAAATTTTATTTAAAAAATTCAGGTCCTCGCTTTATTTGAAGAACATGATGACCAAACTAGTGCTGTTACTGCTTTTGTGGAACCTTTTGTTATTTTGCTCATTTTGATTGCAAATGCAACTGTTGGGGTTTGGCAGGTTAATTTCATGATTTTTTTTTATCTGTGTAGAGATTAAGGATTTTAATAAGCTTTTGATATGGTTAGGACCTTTAAGTGGGTATTTTGACCAGATTCTTGACCTTGAATCGAGGAAGAATTAAGGAAAACTGAAAAATGTCCTAATCTCGACTCTATATAGGAAATTATAGAGTCCTGACGAAGGTTGGAAATGGCTTAAATGTCGGAAATCTAAATTCCGACTGATCTTGACTCTATCCAGGATTTGATTTTGAACTGGATCAATAAGGTTTGGGTCCAATTTCAGGCCGAACTCTATTTGTTAGGGATGGTGTTGGTTATTGGACAAATCTAATTCTCGTCTTTATATGAATTTTTTAAATTTCTATTCCCTCTTTCAATAATTTCTACATGTAGACTTAATTCCAACTTATGTTAGAATTTTAACCCTAAAATTTTTTCCAATTTCTGTTTATTTTTATTTCCTTCCCATTTTTTTTAGACTTAATTTTTGAAAGTTGTATATTTTTTTCTCATGACATATGCTTAAGAATCTCTTCATTTATTTTTTCACAATTTTATTTTCTAGGAAAGGAATGCTGAAAGTGCAATTGAAGCACTTAAAGAATACGAACCCGAAATGGCTAAAGTAATTCGTTCTGGAAAGCATGGAATTCAAATGATTCGAGCTAAAGAACTTGTTCCTGGGGATGTTGTTGAAGTTTCAGGTTTTTATTTTTTTTGATTTTTTATTGGGATAACCGGGGTTGTTTGATATTTTTCAAAAAAAATTTCCAGTTGGTGACAAAATCCCAGCAGACCTTCGCCTCGTCAAAATTTATTCTACAACAATCAGAATTGACCAATCTATTCTTACTGGAGAATCTGTTTCTGTTATTAAAAATTTGGACACTGTACCTGACCCGAGAGCTGTAAATCAGGACAAGAAAAATTGCCTGTTTTCGGTTTGAATTTTTAAAATTTAAAACAAAAAAATTCAATTTTAGGGTACAAACGTTGCTTCTGGTAAAGCTCGTGGAATTGTTTTTGGAACTGGTTTGAATACAGAAATTGGCAAAATTAGGACAGAAATAACTGAGACGGAATCTGATAAGACTCCTTTACAGCAAAAGTTGGATGAATTTGGGGAACAACTTTCTAAGGTTTGTCAGTAGATTTTATAAGGATGTAGATTGAATACTACTATTTTCTCTGGATTTACGTTTAACATTTTAATTTCTGTAATTAGGGGCATGAACGTAGACTTGATCTGTTTTTTGCTGTTAAATCATAAATTGCAGGCTTTCCCACTACTTGCAGGCTTTCCCACTATCATTCCTAATTTTTAATATTTTTTGAGGGGAGGGTCTTTCGATTAAGTTTGCTTGAGTTTTTCTTTAAACATTTTTTTATTGTTTAATTATACTCAAAAAAATTTTTTCAATTTAAAGGTCATTTCAATAATTTGTATTGCTGTCTGGGCTATCAATATTGGACATTTCAATGACCCGGCACATGGTGGTTCTTGGTTAAAAGGAGCAATTTATTACTTCAAAATTGCCGTTGCACTCGCCGTTGCGGCTATCCCTGAAGGCCTCCCAGCAGTAATTACAACCTGTCTAGCTTTAGGAACTCGTAGAATGGCTAAAAAGAACGCAATTGTTCGTTCGCTTCCTTCAGTCGAAACTTTGGGTTGCACATCGGTCATTTGTTCTGATAAAACTGGAACTTTGACAACAAATCAAATGTCGGTGTCGAAAATGTTTATTGTTGAGGGAGCGCGTGGAGATCAAATTAGCTTCAGGTTTGCTTTGAAAGTTTTGATGAGGGTTGTGCGAAGCATGCAAAATTGGTAGTTTGAGTTCCTTTCTTTCAACACAAGGAAAATAAATGAGAAAATGTTTGAGGGTATAACAATTAAAGTGAAAGGGTTTCAAAGTACTTTGCATGTTCTGAGCAACTTTATTAGTTAATAGGTTGAGGTTCTGTTAATTTTCATCGTCTGACTTGGAGCGCCTTGGAGTAGGAATGGGAAAACTTGAGCAAATTTTGTTTAGTTTCCCTTGTTGACAAGTTGTATTTTTACACTATCGATTCTAAATTTTGTGTAAATTTGTCTTGTATTCTTTAAGAAGATACTTGATTTATGATTTTATTTCAAAAAAATTTTTTTAGTGAATATTCTATAACTGGATCTACTTACGAGCCTCAAGGTCAAATTCTCCATAGTGGCATTCAAATTAATTGTGCCTCTGATGATCACAAAGCTTTAACTGAATTGGCAACAATTTGCTCAATGTGTAATGATTCTTCAGTTGATTATAACGAGGTTTTTTTAATTATTTTATTAAAAGGGAGGGGTAGTTGGTTCATTTTTCTAATTATTCCCCTCCTAAAATTTTTCACTTTCCCAATTTTAGGGGGGGAGGCTGTAGCCCCAGAAGCCCCCCTGGCTACGCCCTTGCTCCCATTCATTCAAAAATTTTTTCTAAATTTTATAGACTAAACATGCTTATGAAAAAGTTGGAGAAGCAACCGAAACAGCTTTAGTTGTTCTTGTTGAAAAAATGAATGTTTATGATACGCCGAAAGGTGGTCTTTCACCTCGTGACATTGGAAATGTTTGCAATCGAGTAATTCAACAAAAATGGCAAAAAGAATTTACTTTGGAATTTTCTCGTGACAGAAAATCAATGTCTGTCTTTTGTGTTCCGACAGTTTCTAATTCTGGTGCTCGGATGTTTGTTAAGGTTTTTTTTAATTTTTGCGGATTTTTTAAATCCTTTTTTCTCGCCAGGGTGCTCCCGAAGGCGTTCTTTCCCGTTGTACTCATGTTAGAATTGGTGACCAAAAAGTTCCACTTACCCCTGCAATGACTCAGAAAATTGTCCAACATTGTGTTAAATATGGAACTGGTCAAGATACTTTGCGTTGTTTGGCCCTTGGAACAGTTGATGAACCGCCAACACCGAATGCGTATATATTTTATTTATACTTGGGGATGTCTTTATTCCTCCCAATTTTTATTTTAAATTCCCTTATTGGGGTTTTTGGCAACTGGTTAATTGGAGCCTGTGGCGGCTCAAATGATAAATAATAAGAGTATTCGAACGACACAGTCAAAAAATTAGCTGGTAGCCAAAAACCCTATGTAAAATCCATTGCGAAAGTACCTGAGATCGATGGCAGAATTTTTCCGAAAAAGGGGGCAAACAGCCGATCCATATTCAGGAATTCTATAAATTAAAGAAAATATTTCCATCCACTTTTAAAATCAATTTTCTCTTTTGTCCAGTATGAACTTGGAAGACTCTACTAAATTTGGTGAATATGAACGTAACATAACTTTTGTTGGAGTTGTTGGTATGTTAGACCCTCCACGTCAAGAAGTTGCTCTTTCAATTCGTGAATGTTTCCATGCTGGGATTCGTGTTATTATGATAACTGGAGACAATAAAAACACTGCAGAAGCTATTGGACGAAGAATTGGTCTTTTTGGAGAAAATGAAGATACAACTGGATTGTCTTATACTGGAAGAGAATTTGATGATCTCTCGCCAGAACAGCAAAGTCAAGCATGTAAAAGAGCCAAACTTTTTGCACGTGTAGAGCCAGCACATAAATCTAAGGTTTTAAATTTTGTTTATAGAATTTTAAGTGGATTACTTGTGTGAAGTTTTTTTCCAGCGACTGACCATTATGAATGTTTCACTTTGCTTACCCCTTTTCTTTTCTCCTCACCGGTGCTTATCTTCCCAGATCGGTAGTAGCATGGTGCTCTTGTGTTCCTTTTCTTCCCCGTTTTTGCAACCCTTGAAGCTCCATAACTTTTTAGTTTTATATTCGGAGCAAAAAAAGCCGAAAATTTACAAGAGTAAATCGATGATGCTTTATCGATTGGTACCAAAAAACTACAAAGTTTTGACTCACAGTTTATGAGTTTTCCTTGTATGAAAGACTGGATTTTTCTTCAATTAATTTTTTAAATTATTTTTCATTCAGATTGTTGAATATCTCCAATCACATGGTGAAATAACGGCAATGACTGGTGATGGTGTTAACGATGCGCCTGCATTAAAAAAAGCAGAAATTGGTATTGCAATGGGTTCCGGTACTGCTGTAGCTAAAAGTGCGGCTGAAATGGTTTTGGCTGATGATAATTTTGCTACAATAGTAGCTGCTGTTGAGGAAGGCCGTGCAATTTATAACAACATGAAACAATTTATTAGATATTTAATTTCTTCAAATATTGGTGAAGTTGTTTCAATCTTTTTGGTTGCTGCGCTTGGTATTTTTTAAAATTTATTTTTAAAGAAATTTTGGACTTTGATTTGAGAATTAGGTTTCTTGCTTATTTCTAATTAAGGGTTCCAGTCATTTTTTCCAGTTATTTTTTCGGCATTCTAGTCATTTCTTCGGGCCTCGTTTTATCGTCCGGCCCGACCAAGTCTTTTTCGGGCCAAAATTCAATGCCCAACTCGATCTTTTGGACCGGGCTCTAAATCCTATTTCTAATAGTAGAGGTGATAAATATTGCCTCCTTCTATTAGGTAGTCCACCTTTGATTACAAGTTTATGGGGAACTAAAAATTTGTACTGTGCTTGTTCAATTTATTCTCCCTCTCTAGAATAAAAATTTTTGGTCTTTTTGGAGGAGCTTATTCGCATACATAGATCCTTTGCTAATTTTGGCTGATCAAATTTGGGTTAATTTTGAAAAAAGTTTATGTAAATATGTTAAATATTTTGGTTTAGTCTTTTCCTACTTTTTAAATTTATGCCTTTTTATCCTTTCCTAATTAATTTTTAAATATTTTTAAAGGAATTCCTGAGGCTTTAATCCCAGTACAACTTCTTTGGGTCAACCTAGTAACTGATGGTTTGCCAGCAACAGCATTAGGTTTTAATCCTCCCGATTTGGATATTATGGATCGCCAGCCACGTTCAGCCTCTGAATCATTAATTTCTAAATGGCTTTTCTTCCGTTATATGGCTATTGGAAGTAGATTTTTTTAAAAAATTTTTAAAATTAATTTATTTAAATTTAGCCTATGTTGGATGTGCCACAGTTGCTGCATCAATGTGGTGGTTCTGTAAGTTTTTTAAAATAAATTGAAAAATAATTTTGTTTTAAAGTAATCTATGAGGATGGCCCTCAAGTAAGTTATTATCAATTAACACATTGGATGCGTTGTGATATTGAACCTGAAAACTTTGATGACCTTGACTGCTCTGTGTTTATGGATAATCATCCTAATGCTATGGCGCTTTCTGTCTTGGTGACAATTGAAATGTTGAATGCTGTGAATAGGTGAGGAAGAGGGGGATTGTTAAATAGGGCCGAGTTTTTTGTTTTTCATTTCTCTAAAATTTTGTTTAAATTTAGAATCGCAATTAAACGATTCCTAGTTTTTTTCTTAGCCCCAGAATATTAAAAATAATTTTGTCTTACCCTGCTGAAATCTTACCCTGCTCTATAATCGTGCTCTTTGAGATCACACTTTAGAACTTTTTACTAGCCTAAATATTTAATAATTCAAACTCTGTTCATAATAAAAACCGGATTTGAGAATTGATTTAGATCGATATCTCGGAAAATTTCTATAATGGCGGGGGTATAGAAAGTTGATTTTAAAAAGCGAAAACAAAACGGGAAACTGGCACACTCTGCTCTATAATTATGCTCTTTGAGATCTCTCCTCGGTCCTATTACTATTATAATAAGTAGTAAGATCTAAATATTCAAGATTTGGGTAATCTTGCGCTTTACTGGTCCCTATAAAAAATGAGGAAAAAGTGCTAGTTCGACATTTTTGAGGCATGCCATTAGGTAATCGAGCTTACTGAGTCCGAATCTGAGCTTAGAATTTGCTTATTTCGAATCCCGAATTCGACCAAATCGAATTCGGGGTAAGAATTCAGAACTATTAGGCTATCGCTATTCTGACGCATCTCTTCAAACTGAACGAATGATATCAAGATTAATGTGTTTCGACAACTTTAGACTGAGTTATGATCAATTAAATACACGTTTGGTTAGACTTCCGTATATAAATCAGACATCATAACTTAGTCTAAAGATGTCGGAACGTAAAAATTTTGATACCAATCGACTCAGCTCAAAGAGAAGAGTCCGATTAGACATAAAATTTGAAATTTTGAATTTTTACCCCAAAATCCGACTGGTCGAATTCGGGTTCGGGGTTTGAAATAAACAAATTCTAAGCTCAGATTCGGACTCAGCAAGCTCGATTACCTACTGGCATGCCTCAAAGATGTCGAACTAGCACTTTTTCCTCATTTTTTTTCTAGGGACCAGTAAAGCGCAAGATTACCAAGATTTGTTTTAATTAAAAATTCTTTTTAAAAACATTTTAATAAATTATTTTTTTCAGTCTCTCAGAAAATCAATCAATTCTTAAAATGCCTCCTTGGACAAATATCTGGCTTTGTGCAGCTATAGCTTTGTCTATGTCTCTTCACTTCCTTATTCTCTATGTTGACATTATGGCAACAATTTTCCAAATAACTCCTCTCAATTTTGTTGAATGGATGGCCGTATTAAAATTCTCTATACCAGTTATTTTGCTAGATGAAATTTTGAAATTTGTAGCACGGCGAATGGAAATGCATAGCGGTAAAATGATGAAAAAGAAGCTTTAAAAATTTAATTTTTTTAAAGCTTTTGACAAACCCTAAATTTAATTGTTAATTTTATTTTAAAAAAAGGGAAAGGAAAAATATTTTTAAAAAAGATAATTTGGTTGTGGTGCTTAAATTTAACAATATTAATGCTTTATTAATTAATTTATAGTTTTTATTTTAACTGGCTATATTTTTTGCTAACTAAATTAATAATAAGCTGGACTAATTTGGTGTTCATAAAAACTAATTAAAAGTGTTTTCCAAAAAATTATTTTTTAAGAAAATCTGTAACCAAGAACGAAATTTTTTGGAAGTTATTTTTATCAGGGTAAACATTCCAAACCCCCTTAAATTGATATTAAGATCACCACAAGGTTAATCCTTAAGGAAAGATCATTAGTTCTGAGTAGAAACCGGACTGGGAGTGTCGTACGAGAATCGCGATTACTAAAAATTCTCGATCCCGATAAGAGAGCTTTTCGATCAAGATCTCGTCTCGGTCCGGTCTCTAGTAAAAAATTATTTTTTAAGAAAATCTGTAACCAAACCTGAAATTTTTTGGAAGTCATTTCTAGCAGGGTAAACTTTTCAAAACGCCTATAAATTGAGATTAAGATCACCGCAAGGCCTCTATTCCTGAACCAATCTACAATATTATTTTTCTGCAAAGTAATGAAAATCCATTCTCTCAACCCTTTAAAATTGAGATAGGCTTCAAATATTAAAATATAAATTTTGAATCCCAAAAATTTGATAAAAGAGTCATTCCTTTCTCTAAATTTTTTCCTCATTATCCCTTTTTATGTCAAGTAAATAAATATATTTGACATTAATTCAGACCTGGTCATGGATACGGATATGGAAACAGATAATACCAAAATGCCTGCGGATATCCGTCTGTATCCGCCGTAAATATTCGGATACGGATACCAAAATCATTATCCGTGACCAGTCTGCATTAATTGACTTTCCATTTTATTTCCCTTAATTTTTTAAGCAAAAAAAATAATAATTTTTTTTGTTTTAAAAATTTATATCCACATTTATAAATGTGCTTTCTTCTCCTAATATTTAAATAATTTCATTTAATTTTACCCTAAATAAAAAATATTCGTTTCCCTCATATGGACTCTTAAATTTGTATATTTATTTTTTTTGTTGTCCTATTGCCCTGATTAAATATACAAAAATATTTTAATAAAAATGATTTGCTTTGGATTTTTATGTTTGCTTTTGAATTTTTAATATTTTAGCTTTATAATAATTTATTAACCCTAAATTAACTGCTTTGGGCTTTAAAAACTTTAAAATTAAAATTTAAAAATATTTTTTAAACTAAAAGCTCTTCGATCAGAGGTCACACCTTGAGAAAGTAAAATTAAAATATTTAGGTTAGGGCTGTCCGCAATTGACATTCTGCGACTCGCAAGCCAGACTACCAGCTATAACTTTTTTGTACATCGAGGGCTTCGGAATGATATAGAATTATTTGTGTTGGATCAAGCACAAAAAAGTTATAGCCGATCAAAGTCGGCTAGCCCTCAGTTTGCGGTAGTATAACGGAAAAGTACCTATCAAGCTTTAGACTCAATTATAGGGTGATCTATCGTTCACAGTTGGTGGGCAAATGGTGGTGGGCAATTGGTGGGCAATACTCACGCATGTTCATTTTCCTGATTATAATTTAGTTTAGGAATTTTTTTTCGGAGCTTGGGTATTTTTCAGATTAAAAAGAGTATATTTTTGCCCAAATTCAGGGTGTTGACCTCAGATACTTGGAGCACAACCATTTTAATTCTTAATAATTTTTTTCTTCTTTTTTAAGACTTTGAAGACTATAAAAAGAAGCAATGAAAAAGCAACTGAAGTTTAGGAGGAATATACTATTATAATTACGATAATTAAAATTATTTTTAAGGGCTGTGTTTGGGTTAGGGAAGAAATAAATTTTTTCTTTTGTATAAAACACGTATACATATACACGTTCTTATCTTTAATTTTGTGTGCCTCATCCAACAATTTTTATATTTCTTCAAATCGCCGATTCAATAAAAAATAAAAATTTGTTTAAAATTTTACTAAATTTAGTAATTTAAGAGTTGTAGCGTTAGACAGCTTTGATTGATTTTAACTTTTTTTAGCCTGAATGTATATTATATCATTAATAGCCCTAGATAAGCGAATTTTTTTCCAACAAAAAAAACGAGAATCACTCATTAAAAGTGATTATTAGTGTATTTTTAGGAGATAAATTTCCCAAAATAATTAGAACAATAGGAACAAAATAAATGAATAGGAAACAAGAATAGTCCTGATTTTTAAATTTCAATTTTTTTAAATATTAGGATTATTTCGAATTTTATATTTTTACTTTTTTTAAATTGTATTTGTGACCTTCGCGTCATTTTAACGCAAATAAATAAAATAAAATTTGTATTTACATTAAAACATAATCATTCCTGAACTGGCAGGCCGAAGGCTTGTAACTTCTTACTTTCAATATTAGAGCAAAAAAGCCAAAAATTGGCTATATGGAACGATATGGTATAAAATTAATACTCACGCATGTTCAGAGCAGAGGTTTTTTTCACAATTCCGACTTCCGATTTTTCCGAGTTCCTACTTTTAAGCCAGTTCCTATTTCAGCTCTTCCGACACCTCTGACTGTTCCGACCCACCTCAGGTTCACAGTTAATGTGTCTCCATCGTCTAAAAGTCACAAACAGTTGCTTTTTAATTTATTTAATAACAACTATACTTATAACTTTATTCACAAAAATAACATTAATTATATCCTAAATATCAAGTTTAGTTAATTAACAATTTTAACTGCCGAAGCTGGATAATTACAAACAGGTCCTGTGCCTGCATGCCCAGGTAAATACCAATTTGAAGCTCCTGTATCTAAATGATCTTCACTTATTTCTGGTCTAACTTCTCCACAGGCATAAACAACTCTTGTTGAACGATTTTTATAACCAAATATTTTGACATTATTGAAAGAAACTTTGTCGTTATATGGAGCATTTCCGGCTTTAAAATATTATTTGTAATTAAAATACGAGTTAGCATAAATTTAGTCATTGAGATCGAAACGGCGACTTTCTACTGACTCGGACACCTAGGTGTTTAAATTGCAGTAAGCTTGATCTTCCTTTCTTACAAATGCTTCAATAACTAGTACATTATAATATTTCTATCAATTTCTAGAATTTATACATACCGTCTGATTTTTTATCTTACAAGGAACTATCGTTTATTGTGGTGATCAATGACCCCTTATTAGCTAGATGGATCTTCCTTCCCTAACTTCAACCAATATTAAAAAACCAATACCGTAAATCCTCTAACATAGGCCCCCACCTAAAATAAGCCCTCTTTCAAAATAAGCCCCCTCTAGAGGCCGATCGAAAAAATAAGCCCCGGGGCTTTTTTAGAGTATTTACGGTAATTTAATATATGAAAAATTATTTGACTTACATGCAATTACGTGTCCTTTTCCAGTAAAATTTGAATTTGTTATAAAAACAGTTCTTTGTTTAGAATTTTGACTCACTTCATCATTACAAGTCCCACACGACCGCCAAACTTTTTGAAATCCATCCCCACAAAAATTATTAATTATTGTCTTTCCGGGGCCAGACTGTACAAACATTTTATCCAAAGCGTGGAGTCCAGCACCCCCCTCAACTGTGTAAGTAAATGAACGTCTATCAGTTTTTGTAAAGTCTGTTGTTGCATTGAAAGCTGCGGCGTGAGTACAAACACGTTCAAAACTGAATATTTTAGTGGTAAATTTTTTAGGTAGGGGTTGAAATTTTGGGACTAGGCTTTGATAAGGATAGATATTTAGCTGATTTTGAATAGATTAGGGACTAGGTTTGTTAGACTAGGTTTGTTCATTATAGACTAGGTTTGTTAGACGAAGGTTGTTTATTACCGGTTATTAACCGGTACCCTCGGTTTTCGGTTTATTGGCCAGAAACACCGAGTTTCGGTTAGGTTAACCGACTGTGAACAACCCTAGAGAATAGACCATTGTAGTTTGAAGGTAGTTAGCCTTCGGTTAAATTTTGGAGACTTAACCGGTTACTGGCCGCTATCCACGGTTTTAGAGTAATCCAAATTTAAACAACAGTTTTTGGTTTTGAGTTTTGCTCCGGCTTTATTTTGGGGGGATTTTAAAAAATCCACTTATTTATAAAAATTTTCAGTTTTTAAATTTCATAAAAGCGGTTAATTTTTGGAAATAAATGTCAAAATTTCTGGCTTTAAAGCCCTTCGTGTCCAACCCTAATATCAACTAATCAAGTGCTATTATACACGGCAATAATTACTGTAGTATTTACAAAAATAAAACCGACTAGACATTCTTCAAAGTACAACTTCCACTACACCAAATGCCCGAAGATGATTCAGTTCCAATAATTAAATTACTAACAGTCACCCCATTAGATAACCATAATATTGGCGACATTTTCTTACTAAAGTCAATTGTACAGCTTCCCAACTTTGGGGAAGCTATCAGACGGATAAATCCAAAATCTTTGTCTTTAGTTAGGGGTATAGTCTCATCAACAGTTTGGTTCCCCTTTGCCGTTGGAAATTTACATAGATCGCTTTTTATAAGTAAGGGGGATAGATTTAGTAAAATTAAGGGAAATAAAAATTTTAGGTAAAAATGTGGCATTTTTTGAGAATTTTGGAAGAGCAAAATTTATTTGAAATTTATTTGAAATTTATTTGAAATTTATTCAAAAATGCTATTTTATAGGCAATTTTATGTACTTAATATCCATGTCTGTGTCTGAGAGTGTAAAAATTTTTTTAAATATTTGAACAAATTTAATTCAACTTTTATTAAAAAGTGCAATCATAAATAGTACTTTAGATGCTTTAGTTAATAATAAAAATTGTCACATTTTTACCTGTTTAACAATTAAAAGCCACATTTGAACCTATAAAAATTTAAATTTTATTTAACTGTCTGGTGATAAAATTTGTAAATTCTTTTTTGAAAAAATTCTTATAAATAAAATTAACTATAAAAATTTAAATTGTAAATAATTATTGAAGCAAATTTGAAGTATTATTCGAATATAAAATAAAAGAATTTATATAAAGATTAGGGATTAAAGATACAAACTAGAGATGAATAATTTTTAATTTTAAAAACGTGAGCGGAAGGGGTACACCCTAGTGATGTTCGGGAGAAGAAAAAACCCGGGAATCGGGTTTTCCGGAAAAAATTTCCTGACTTAGTCGGGAATTGCCATAGGAGTCGGGATCGGGAGTCCAAAAACTCGGGAAATTTTCCCAACTCGGCAGTCGGGATCGGGATACCCGAACATCACTAGTACACCCAAAACCTACCGCGAGCCCAACCTACCACCAATATATTTTTTGTTGATCAACTTCCCCGGTTCATGGAACAACTTTCACATTTGTTGGAACTTCCGAGTTCCGAGATGTTTTCCTTTCGATTTCCAATGTCCGAAACTTTGATAAAATTTCATATTTCCGCAGTCCCGACTTCCGTCAACTTTGTCAATTTTGTGTTTAAACACTTCCCCAATCATTGTAACTACCTTCCCCGTCCTTGCATATTTTCTTGGTTTCAATAATCTTTTTTTACAATTTTTGTAATATTAAAATTCTGCCTGTGAAAAAGCCTTTTTTTTAATTTTGTCGCCACGTTTCCACAATTGCAAATTATAAGAAATGTGTATGTACATTTAAAAATGTTACTTCCTTCTGATTATTATTACATACATCATTGGAAATAAATTTACGAAAAATATTTTTCTATTTTATTTGTTCAGACAAAATAAACATTCTTATTTAAAGGAAATTAATTTTTAAACACAATGGAATTTAGCTCTTAATTTTCTAAGCTTTTATCAAATTTATTTGGGACGTGGCTTAGGAAGTTTAGAAAATAATCATAAGAAAGAAAATATAAATTAATTGAACATTCAATTTTAAGGAAAAAATATAGGATGATAAAATTGATACGTGTCAAATCGTCATGAGATGTCTAGAATCATTTGTATAAATTAACAAACATTTCTTTGAAAATTATTATTTCTTTAATTTAATTGTTTCTAATCAAATGTTCTTTTTATTAAAATATTTAAATTATTATAATAGGTGAGCTGTAGTAAAACAGCTGGGCGTTAGCTATTTCTCTCCTTTAGTTAGTGCAAAAGGTTAATCGGCGGCTGGGAGCGAACCAGCATCTTCAGGAGACCGGACTGATGTGTTGTTATCTATTTATCCACTACTCCGCCTCGTTCTTAGCTTTAGGAATTAAATAGCTATATGCTTTACACAGGTTTGTATATAAAACTCTGCCTTTATTAGGCGTAGTGTAAACTAGAGTAAGTCCGAGCGAGTTCGAGTTACTCGACTCGACCGCTCGGGTTTTTTGCGTAATTACTCGACTCGGAACTCGGAATCATAATACTCGGATTACTCGAGCTCGGAAACTTCCTACTCGACGTACTCGGTTAAAACCGAGTATTTTTATGACCCATCTGCGGCGCAAAAAGGAAGATTTTTAGCTTAAGGATCTTCCAAAATTCTCAAAATTTTTGGCTGCGGCGCTAAAAGAAGAAATTTTGCTCTCTGGCCTTCCAAATTTCTCGAAATTTTTGGCTGCGGCGCTGAAAAAGGAAGATTTGTGTATATCGGAGGATTCAATCAAGCTAAGTGGATTTTAGTGATATCCGGATATTTCAAGGGATCTAAAAGAATAGCGAGGTATCTGGCCTTCTGAAAATTGGTGTTCCTACTTGACCTTCAGAAATTCTCAAAATTTAAGCCAACGACGCGAAAAGAGAGGGATAGAGCAACGTATCTCATGATCACCTTTCGACAATCTATCTAATCCGACGATATCCCAATTAATCTCCCGAATTTCCAAGATTTTGCTCCTAATACACCCAAATCTCACTATAATCGGCCTAAATCCCGCTTAATCCCTTGATATCCATCTCATTCCTCTGTTATCATTCGATATCCTCAATCTACACGAATCCCCGAAATAATATTATCCATTGATGTTCAACCCGGAGCCCGGATTCAACATTGATCGTGTGCATATCATGGAATTTCTGCGGATTAAGAGGGATATAGTCGGATTAAGAAAATAAATGGGATTTGGATGAAGATCTAACGCAATACTGCCAACAAATGCTCAAAACACGGCACTGAGGATGAATAGCCTTTAGTAAAAGTATTGTTTTTATCGAAATTATTTAAAAATACTGTTTTATAAAAAATACTCGATTACTCGACTACTCGAACTCGAACTCGGCCTAAAAAGTTGAGCTCGAGCTCGAACTCGGGTTTTTCAAACTCGGATTACTCGAGCTCGGTTTTTTCCCAATTACTCGGTACTCAACTTACTCTAGTATGTATATTATATTTTCTTGCATACTCCGGTATCTAATTATCACAATAGCCTTTTAAAATGTTATAATGATATATTTATTTGTTAAGAATAATAATGAAGAAAATAATTATTTTATTTTCGATTTTTTTGATCATAAATATTTCTACAACAACATCGGATCCCTTAGAAGATTTGCTTGGAGGTTTACTTGGTGGTATACTTGGAGGAGTACTTGGAACACTTAAAAATCTCCTTAGAAACTTACTCGGATCAACCTTACCTTTAAGTGAAGAAGACCTTCAAGATCTGGCAGAAAAATTAAAGGAACTATCAAGATCAGGGTATACAATATCTTCTGAAGAATTGCTAAAGCGTGCAAAAGAAATAGCTGAAATTAACAGACTAACTGGAGGAGAATGGACAGCTCATTTTAATTTAGAAAGTTTGCTGCCACTGGAAGTTCAAAAGAGACTTTATGGATCATTGACTACTAAAGCGAATAAAGGGAATGATGATGAAGATGGAGCGGATAAAGATGGGCCTCCAAGAGAAAAAAGGCAAGCAAGAAGATCTAAACGGGCAGCATCATGCACCTATAATATCGAATTCGATGCTCGTGATAGATGGCCAAGTTGCAAACCTATCATTAACTATGTTCAAACTCAGGGCCATTGTGGCAGTTGTTGGGCTCATTCAGCAGCTTCTTGTTATACTGATCGTTATTGTATTAACGAAGCAAAAAATCTTCGGAGCACCCCATTCAATGCTAGCTATATATTTTCGGCATATGAAATACTCTCTTGTTCAAAAGAAAATGGGTGTAAAGGAGGCTCGGAAGAAGAAGCATATAGATGGATAAAAAAAATGGAATATGTACAGGAACTGACTACCAACGTCAGGACGGTTGCAAGCCATATCCTTTTAATCCAGGAACCAACAATCCACAACTGACAGGTTGCTCACAAACTTGCACTAACTCAAAATGGAAAATACCTTATGATACTGATAGAAAACACTATGGCACGTTAAAATTATTGAGAAAATAATTAATTTAATGTCCTCAATTTGTAGTGACAGACGTCGGCTTTTTGGAAGGAGAAGCTAATATTAAATTTGAACTCAGCAGACGCGGACCTGTATCTGCCTCATTTGACATTTATGAAGATTTTAATCATTACAAAGATGGAGTTTATAGTGTAATTTTTATTTATTCTCTATTTATTAAATTATTTTTTATTCAGCACGTATGGGGTGATAAACCTGGAGGGCATGCTGTTGTTATTACCGGATATGGAACTGCTACATGTGATGGGAAAAAAATACCTTTTTGGATTATAAGAAATTCATACAGTATCACTTTTGGAATGGCCGGCTTCTTCTACATGCGTCGTGGAACTAATGAATGTGTTATTGAAAAATATATTTCTTATCCAATTTTCTAAATATATTTTTTAAAGTACAGGGTGCGGCATAAGTAATTGCACACTTGTTTTCTCTCATAACTTTATTAAAACACAATAAAATAAAATCGAAATACAATCAAATGATAGAGAATTAAATAGGGAACAATAATAATCATGCAGTTTCGAAATGCCCACCCTTGGCTTTGATACAGAGGCGAAGGCGCGAAGAAAAAATTTCGCAAATAGCACGCACCTCCTTGTGTGTAATTAAGTCTCACTCTCGGGTGAGTGAGTGGCGCAGAGACTCCAAACTTTTATGAGGCATAGCACAGGTCCTGGACTCAAAAATAGACCAAAAAAGAATAATCCATCGGATTCAAATCCGGGGAGTATGGCGGCTATTCCTAAGCGCTAATGAACCCAGGAAAATTGGCCTTGCACCAGTCCTGAACATCTTTCGCCTTGTGTGCCGGAGCAGAGTCCTGTTGGAAAATCCAGACTCTGCGACCGAAATGGCTCTTGAACCGAGGCTTCAGAACACGCTGAAAAAATTCTCGCAAGTAATAGTCTTTGTTGACTTTTACACCAAAATCCACGAAAATAAGGGGTTTTTTGACTGACGCGCAAATACCGGCCTAAACCATGACAGATTGGGGATGTTGGAAATGAGTGATAAGCCCATCAAAAAGAGGAGATTCTGTAGTCCAGATTCTATAATTTTGATGGTTGTGTACGATTTTTATTGTAAAAATTTTTTCGTCTGAGAAGGGAATGTCCGGACATGCGTGCCACTGAAGGAGCAGTTTGCATCCTGCAAGCCTAACTTTTTTTGTTTTTTCTGTTAGCAGTTGTGCTTTTTGGATTTTGTAGGGTATTAACCCTAGTTTATTTTTAGCTATTCGTCTGACGGTTCTCTCACTTATTCCGGTTTCACGAGCGACTTTTCTCATGGAGAGTCGAAAATTGCGATACACCCAAATTTTGATCATTTTAATATTCTTGGAAGTGCTGACGGAATGCGGTCTTCCACTTTTTTGTAAGTTCTTAGTTGTGCCATCATTACTAAATTAATTTCAAAAAAATTTTCTCCCAAAAAATTTTCACCAGAATTTTTTGAAAGTTTATTGTACAGTGCTCTGTGGGACATTCAAAAGAGGTGAAATTTTGCGGACTGAATTTTTTTTCAAAAAAAGTGAAATTATAGAATCACGTTGATTAGCCATAATAGAGAATTGAATGAGCTAAAAAATAAGCCTAAAATCAATTAAAAATATTGACACCAAAAAAAGACTTTTCTCATAAAATTAACTTTTCTCATAAAATTAACTACGGTACGGTCCGATCACTAATATCAACATACATGTTTAAATTTTTTAGTAAGGTTGTCGGATCCAGATATCCGAAGATTTCCAACTATCCAACACCCTTATTTTGTAGATTTTTAGTAATGTTCGAAATAACTATTAAAAGTTTGCTTAGGAAGAAAATGTAAATTTTATTCTAAAAATTAAAAAAAAAATTAACCAAAAATCCATAAAATCTTGTTAGTTATTCGCTAAAAAGATCTATTTAAATTTTTAGAAGATCAGATCATCACAAAAAATTTTTTTGAAAAAACGAGTCAACATTTTTCAAAAAGTAATTTTAAAACCCCTTATAGTACATACAATTATTTAAAGGAATTAGGGTTGCCGTTTTCGAGTCGGGCCGACGGTCGAGGCATTTTTTTCGGGCTTGTTTTTATCGAGTCGGGCCGGTACGAGTCTTTTTCGGGCCAAACATCGAGACCTGACTCGATCTTTCGGTCCGAGTCGGTCCATTTTGGCAACCCTAAAAGGAATACACTTCTTTAGTTACTCGTACTATTTAGCAGAGGTGGGTCGGAACAGTCAGTGGAACTCGGAAATGTCGGAACTCGGAAATCAAAAGTTTTTTCGGTGATCGGAAATCGGAAGGAAATAACGCCGTAAATCGGAAGTCGGAAATAAAATTAATATTTAAAATTGTAAAGTGGCAAATTATGGTACCTTCTTGTAGTGATGCTCGGGTATCCCGATCCCGACTCCCGACTCGGGAAAATTTCCCGAGTTTTTGACCTCCCGATCCCGACTCCCGGTGTCAATTCCCGACTAAGTCGGGAAATTTTTACACCCCTAAGAATGGATTTTTCTGACAAAATTATATTTTCATCCAGAAAAAATGAAGAAATCTGGCCTCTTGGTCTTCTAAAATTCCCAAAAATTTCGCCTGCGGCGCTGAAAAGCGAAGATTTTTGGCTTAAGGATCTTCCAAAATCCTCAAAATTTTCGCCTGCGGCGCTGAAAATTGAAGAATCTGTGGAGTTGTAGTATAGAAGATTCGGTGATTTACTAGGATTATGGTGAATTTAAAGAGAACGAGGGATTTGCAGTAATAAAGAGAGATATCAATCGATGATTAATGTTGCATATGGGGTGTTAATACTATTGAGGGGATATAAAGAGATATGTGGCTAGTTCACCAAAATTCCACCAAAATTGAACGTAAAAATATTTTTCTCTGTTTCACTTTTCCTCTATTTCACTCCAATGGAGAGATTCTAAGGACTTAAGGTCAATGACAGCTGGGCTCTGGCTCAAAGAAAAAGCCCCCAGCAATACCCAACACTGATTATCTCTGCGGTTACAAGGTTTTTTGGACAGGCTGTTGGCTTATCTTTCCAAATAATCGGGGAAATAAACTCTTAAGTTACCCTTAAAGATCGTTCAAGACCCCTTTCTATTTCACTCCAATGAGAGTCAAAATTTTTGGCTGCGACGCAAAAAATGGAAGAAATCTGACTTCTTGACCTAAAAATTCTCAAAATTTTCGCCTGCGGCGCTAGTAAGGCTTCTTTACCTTCCAAAATTTTCAATATTTTTGCCTATGGTGCAAAAAATTGGAATTTTTGGCGCCGAAGGCGCCAAAAATTTTTGAAATTTTTGGAAAATTTTTTTATTGCTAATTCCCGACTCCCGATCCCGACTCCCGTTGTCATTTCCCGACCCGACTCCCGTTTCCCGATTCCCGGGTTTTTTCTTCTCCCGAGCATCACTACCTTCTTGAGTGTAATTCGAGGGAGTTAACGTTCTTTTTGCAACTCTAAAGTCAAATTTGAAGGGATTGAAAGATATATTAGGGGATCCCCGACAAATTTTCGGTTCGGGTTCACTTATCCGAAGAATTTGGTAAACTGACAACTCCAATAATAAAGATTTTTCTTAATATTGTCGCTACGTTTCCACAAATGTAAAAAATTATTTTTTTATTTAATTATGGTTAGAAAATTATAAAAATTGTAGTAAATTATAGAAAATGTACATTAAAAATATTACTTCCTTCTGATTATTCATTGAAAATAAATTTACAAAAAATATTTTTCTATTTTATTTGTTTAGTAAATATAAAAAATAAACATTTTTATTTAAACAAAATTAGTAATTGTTAAACACAATAGAATTTTTAGCTTAATTCTAGGCTCAAAATTTACATGAGACGTGGCTTAGGAAATTTTACAAAATAATAATAAGGAAGTGAAAGATACAAAAGAAGATGTACAATAATTAAACACAAAATTCTAAGGAAAAAATATAGAAAATGATTTGTTAAAATTGATACGTGTTAAATCGTCATGAGATATGTAGACGTGTTTAGAATCATCTGTATAAATTAGCAACCATTTTTCTTGAAAATTATTATTTCCTTAATTATTTCTAATCAAATCTTTTTATTAAAATATTTAAATTATTATAATTAGAGGTGCTCGGAATTCCGAGTTCCGAATTTTGAGCCATTTCCTATTTCCGACAGTTCCGATTTCCGACACCGCCATTTCCGACCCACCTCTGGGGCCTATGCAAATTAGTACTAGAGTCCGACATTTGGTCAATGATGGTCAGTTAGTGAGTTAAATGTCGGACTCTAGTCACAAATATGACACGTCATATCTGAGATATGATCTAATTTGCAGAGGCCCCTGGTCATAATGGATGAACCCAATATCAGTCCAAATACTTGGATATATCAATATCCAACCAAATCAACAGATATTCCTTAGATCCCTCATAATCCACAGAAATTGTTCCAATAACAGGTGAAGTTGTTTCAAGGACGGGAGTTGTTCCGAGGATGCGGAATGTTCATCCGCGAAAGGAAGTTAAATGTTTTAATAATTTTGTTAGGAATAATAATGAGGAAAATAACTATTATATTAGCAATTTTTTTAATCTTAAATATTTCTACAACAACATCGGCGGATCAACTGGAGGACTATATTAAACTTCTTAGATTTGATCCTCTTGGAATAATACTTAACTTAGTCTTAAGTTTGCTTAGAGGATTACTCGGCCCAAGATTACCCTTAAGTGATGCTGAACTTAAAGAGCTGACGGAAACATTAAAAGAGCTATCAAAACATGGATATTCAATAAGCCAAGAAGACTTATTGAGGATTGCACAAAGTGTAGCTGAAATTGCCACACTAACTGGTGGAGAATGGACTGCAAAATTGAATTTAGAAGCTCTACTGCCAGAAAAAGTTCAGAAGTTACGTAATGGAGCATTGAATGTCGGAACAAATGGAGGGAATGAAATTCAAGATGAACCTCCAAGAGATAAAAGAGAAGCGGGAAGAGCTAAACGGGCAGTATCATGCACCTATGATATCGAATTCGATGCTCGCAAAGAATGGCCGGCCTGTAAACCTATCATTAAATATGTTCAAGATCAGGGCGAATGTGGTAGTTGTTGGGCTCATTCAGTAGCTTCTTGTTTCACTGATCTTTATTGTATTGAGCAGTCAAAAAATAATCGGAGCATCCCAACAACGCCATTTTCGGCATATGATTTACTCTCTTGTTCACGGCCAGATGGGTGTAACGGAGGGGTGGTAGAAGATGCATGGAAATGGGTAGAAAAAAACGGAATATGTACAGGAACTGACTTCCCTCGTAAGAGCGGTTGCAAGCCATATCCTTTTGCTCCATGGAACAATGATCCAAAACTGAAAGGTTGCTCAAAAAATTGCACTAACTCAAAATGGAAAATAACTTATCCTATTGATAGACAACACTATGGCACGTTAAAAATTATTTAGGAAATTAATTTAATTTCCTCAATTTCCAGTGAAATCAGTCAGCACTAAAGGAGGAGAAGCTCATATTAAAGATCAACTCAAAAAATTCGGACCTGTATCTGCTGCCTTTTACGTTTATGAAGATTTTCAAGGTTACAAGGACGGAGTTTACTATGTTATTTTTTATTTATTATTTTTTTAGTTTACTATTTTATTTATTCACTGTCTATTAAATTATTTTTTATTCAGCTAGTAAAGGGTAAAAATCTCGGAGGGCATGCTGTTGTTATTACCGGATATGGGACTGCTACATGTGGTGGGAAGAAAATACCTTTTTGGATTATAAGAAATTCATGGGGTCCCAAATGGGGAAAGGGCGGCTTCTTCTACATGCGTCGTGGAACTAATGAATGTGAAATTGAAAAGCATATTTCTTATGGAGGTTTTTGAAGTTTTTGGAATATTTGTATATGAATATTATAAGAAAAAATATTTTTCAAAGTACATATGTATAATAATTACGAGTAAACCCCAACCTACCGCGAGCCCAACCTACCGCCGAGGCTATAATCTTAAAAAATAAAAATTTTTCCTAAAATTTTTCCTTTCCAAGGGCAGTGCTACGAGTTGTAGCTTTGTTACTGTACTACATCTAGGGGTATTTAAAATCCAGAAATTAAGTTTAAAAACCCCTATATGTAGTCCAATTATTCAAAGGAATACTCTTCTTAATTACTCCTAATATTTGGATCGAATACAAGAACTATTATGTATTGTAAGGATGATTCACCTATAACTTTTAAAACGCTTAAGCGAGGATTAAACGATCTAAAGGATAGTGGTAGAGCTCCCGCAGTGGTAGAGCTCCCGTATGCGGTGAGCGAACGCGCCTAGCAATGGTGTACGGAATTTTCGTCTCTGGAAATTTCGTCTCCAAGACTTTTCGGAACTTTCGTCTCCAACATTTTCGGAATTTTCGTCTCCAGCGGAATATTCGTCATTAAGGAAATAATCGGAATTTTCGTCTCCGCAATTTTCGTCTCCGCTAGGAATTTTCGTCTCCAGAGGAAAATTACTCGTTGACGGACCAGAGGAAAAATGTGTCCCGTCAACGGGGGATGATGTTCCGTCAACTGGGATGTTGTTCCATTAACGGGGAATGTTGTTCCGTTAACGGGGGATGTTGTTCCATCAACAGGTAATTTTCCTCTGGAGACGAAAATTCCTAACGGAGACGAAAATCGCGGAGACGAATATTCCGTTTATTTCCGTGGAGACGAATATTCCGCTGGAGACGAAAATTCCGAAAATGTTGGAGACGAAAGTTCCGAAAAGTCTTGGAGACGAAATTTCCACAGACGAAAATTCCGGCACCCCTAGCAATAACTACGAGGAGGTCGCAGGTTCAAACTCTACCCGGTGGCTAAGCTTTTGCTAAACTCTTTCTCTAAAAATACAGATTAACTAAATTTACTTTAAAATTATACATAATGTACATTTAACAATCTAAAATTTCATTAAAAATCTATCATGGTCCATTACGACTATCACAATTGCCATCGTTATGTTCCTCAATTTTAACACCCAATTCTCTACACATAATAGGTGCTTGACACTCTTTGATGGGACACTTCAAGTATTTTGTTTCTCCTTCTTTTTTCGTTTTTCCTTTTCCAATCCATTCATTTAAACAATTTATATGGAAAATATGTCCACAATAAAGTTTTGTTATCGGTTTATTTACATTTTCTAATAATTCCTTACAATGAGGGCATTTTTTGTTGGATATTTTTAATATGGATTGAAGTGAAATCCGTCGGTGAGTAGTCATTAAACGATTAGCTATTTCATCCTTAAAATTTAAGTACATACATAAAATTAATTAGCTCCATCATTAACATTATTACACTTTATACTTATTATTGTAAGGCTTAAAGGTATAATACTTGAGAAACTAGTAAAACCCCGCCTAGAGAGAAGGTGCATTTAAGCCGATGGAAAATAGGGAAAAGCAGATTAGTTGGTGTTCATTCCAACTAGTTATCAATCGAGCATTGGCCCTAGTGTTCGATCGGATTTAAGCCTGATCAACCAATATCATTCACATAGGGAGAAATGAGGAAAACACAGCGACGCCAAACCCGCGACGTAGGGTCAACTCGGCGCTGCCGCTAACCTGGTCACCTAACCAAGTTCTTATAGTGCCGGTTGCTTGTGTTATCTCTGGAAATCCCCTCTAACATTTATACTTATTGTTAGGGTTGGGCAAAATAAGCACGGATTATATGCACGATATGCAATTAGGTATGTTTAGGTAATTTATATCAAGGCACGTATCGGAAAAATGATAAGTGTAAGTATCAAAAAAAAGTTTTAATTTTGACCCAGTCTATCCATCTTTACTAAGGTTGGATTTTTCGAACCAGGTCTACGTTCAAGTCATTTTTTCGGGTCTCGTTTTTATCGAACCGGGCACTCCGACCGAACGAGGTCGTTTGCCCGAACCGGGCCTCCAACCCTAATCTTTACTAAAATAAACCAAAAAAAATTTACCAGATTTGGTTTAATTGCTATTTCATAGTTTTGCCCATTAACTTTTTCATTTTTTTCTGAAAAATTTTTTCCCTTTAAAATTATGGGTTTTTTAATTAACTTTCGACATGTTGGACATATAAAATGCTGGTTTTCTTTAATATTGTCTCCAATACATTTAACATTATTTAATAAACATTCTTCGTGGAATACATGTCCACATCCAATCATTACAATTACAGGGGTTGTTTTATCCTTCTTGAAAAAGCCTTCTAAACATATTGGGCATCCATCATTTTGATTTGAAATTTGGTTTAAATCAACTCGATAATTTGGCACACTTTGTGCTATGAGCTTAGCTATTTTCTTCTAAAAATTGAAAATTTACTTTTTGAGTGAAAAAATGATTACTCAGGGTAATTATTGCGTTAACTAGAGCTAGGAAATTCGTTACGTACCGTATTCTGTATCGTAATACCGAAAAATACAGAGTTTAAAGCATATAGCTATTTAATTCCTAAAATTAAGCATGAGGCGGAGTGGTGTAAATGGCTAACACATCAGTCCGGTTTACTGAAGATGCTGGTTCGCTCCCTGCCGCTGAATAACCTAGTGCACTAGCTAGAGGAGAGAAATAGATATCTCCCAGCTGCTTTACTAGCGGAATACCGTCGCTAATCAGGAGGCCATTCAAACGGAGGGAGTCGTTCAAATACAGAGGGCCATTCTAATAGAGGAAATACGGTAGTTATTAGGTTCATCAATCCCCAGTGTGTATCTACTGGCACCAAAAATCACAAAAATTTGCTCTCAAATTTTTTTAATTCGATAAAATATTAAAAATTAGCTTTATTAGGCAAATTTAATTATTCAACCAATTATTTTTCAATTTTCCCCCCAATCTGTCCCCCAATTTCTAATAAATTTTTTTCAATGTTCAATTAAAAAAACTTACCCGAGCAAGTAGTTTACTTTTATTTTCTTCTTTCTTATCTTTAATTTTTTCAAATTTCAATCCCTTACAACTAATTATGTAGTCAGATACATGCTCAATAACTTTATCAATACTCTTATCCATTCCTTCTATTTCTTTTTGAATTTCTTTTGTTCTTCCTTCAATTAAAAGTATTTCTTGAAGAAATATATTTAACTGGAAATTTTAATTGAGTTTAAATTTATGTATATATTAATTTTAAAAATTTTAAAATGCTCTGTTAGGGTGGGATGAGTTATTATAGCACCTTAGTCATTTCCAATCAATCTCCTGTGTAGGGATATCACTATAGTATTAAAGCCAGTATCAGCGGTGGTCTAATCGAATAATACTCGCCAAGCTAGTTCTTAATACCCTTCGCTATTCCAGCCTCAGTCCACCTTCACCTACATTGTATAAAATGTTATTATTATGCTCGTCGACTTTGGGCCTATTTCTCCCCTCCACAGATTCTGCGGATAGGATTCTGTGCACAGAACACAGAATCTGTGGAGGGGAGAAATAGGCCCCTTAACAAATCTCAGGACAACCTTCAGACAACAGTAGGCGCTTCTATGTGCCCCCTTAGAATGAGACTACAAATTATAAATTCCCGTTTTTCTCACTTTTTTCTACAAACCTTATCTACATTTTCAGTTGCATCCAAATAAAATGTTGCAAATTTAAGAATAAACAAAATTAACATAATTAATTTAAATGTAATAAACATTGTTGAATTTTTGGGTAATTTGACGGGAAATTTTTTTTGTTTTTTAGGAATTAACAAAAATTATACATATAGTTGATGCGGGATTCCGTTTTACGACGATTTTTTAAAATTTCCGACAAATTAAAATTTGAATAAAATTAAAAGGGAGGGAGAAGCTTTTTTAAATTCTCCTTAAAAAGGAGAGAGAGGGCAGTCAAAATTTTCCTCTCGACAACCCTTTGACTATGACTGAATGTCTAGACTAGACAAGAGTTGTTTATTAATGGAAGGCTGCCAAAAAAATTTTTTTATAGATTCTCTCTATAAGTCAATTTATCTACACCCTTCAGAAAATTGCTTTCTCTATAAAAATCCCTCCATCCCCCCCCTCTATAAATCTCCATCCCCCCCTCTCTCCCTCCCATATCCCCCCTCCATCACCTCGTCTAATATGCCCAATTAAAAATTTCTTTTACGTCTTATTATTTTTACCCCCTCTTTTTTTCAGACGCTATTTTTTATTTAAAATTTTTTCACGAGAATGTGTTTTGTAGTTTAATTAAAATTAAATTGAGTTTTTAAATTTGTTTTTATTTATATTTTTGACTGTTTGAGTAACTATATTTCAATTTCTGTCTAATATAGTAGTTAACAGATAAAGAGGTTCCCCGAAAGTAAAAAGTTCCTCCCAATCTGCAGGACAGACTTTAAAAAATTTTCAAAGTTTGGTATTGAAAGTCAAAGTTTAGGCTTCAAAGTTTGGTATTTTTGAAGCGAAATCAGTCTTGGTTAACTATGTTTTATTATCTCCAAGACCCTTTCAATATCAGTCCTGAGAATTTTTAAATTAGGAATCGGTTAATTTGGCTATTTAACAAAGACAAACTGGCACAAAAATTCCCTAATTATCGATAATTTTTGGTCCTTCCCCGAAAGAAAAAAGTTATTATGTATAGGGCTTCAAAGTTTGGTATTTTTGAAACGGCTAATTCCCTCTTATTTTTCATATTAAAGAAAATGAGTCGTTTCACCCTCAATTTTAAAGAAAAAAACATACCAAAAATAATTTACTTGTATATATTCAACAGAATATAGCGTAGAAAATTAAAATAAACTTAAACTTCATCTTTTATTTATTTCTATTTTTTATTTTCATTCCTCCCTTCATTTTTCTTCATCTTCGGCATGGTAATAATCTCTTGCATGTTCCTTGAAATAATCTTTTGGTGATTTAAG